ATTTCATATGTAATAGTGCGATCGATTGAAAATATTGATTTTAAACTGAGATTAAATTGCGATATATATATATATATATATATAAGATAATTCCTATACCATATTTTATTTATGTACATCATGTATAAGCTTAATAATATACACATACTTTATCATCTGAATATTGTGTTCATTGAATTTCTAACCCTACACGGCTATTTAGCCCAATACATCTTTTTCTGGAGCAAAGATTTATACTTATTTATAACAGGGATACTTTTAAATCATAAAATTGATTCTCTTTCTATCATTTTTATTATCTAATCGATTTTATTATTATTATTATTATTATTATTATTATTATTATTATTATTATTATTATTATTATTATTATTATTTCATCTCATCGTTGTTTTATTCATCTTCGAATTAGTAAGTTACCTTATTTTTACCCTTTCTAATGATTTTCTTCTCATATATATATATATATATATATATATATATATATATATATATATATATATATATATATATATATATATATATTTGACAATACTATTGAATAATTAACTACATACATACCTTTCTACATTGCAATAACTGAACAATATTACCTGTCATTCTAATGTCATATATCCTTAACTCATTAACATTTTATAAGAAAAATGAATTCAGTACGCATCTGTGAATCAAAACGTAAATTTATTATTTTTTTCAATTATATATATTACAGTAACTGTTTACAGAAATCGAAAGGAATAGTGAGAAGGGTTGTTTATTCTACGTTTTCATTTTCTGAACTGGCTACATATTAATAACAAATTATTGGACTGATCAAAATGCAGTCTTAAACATCTATTAAGATAGCCTACGCCTTTTGTTGGTGAGTGGCAACTAATCCGAAACCTATTTTAATAATTACATATTGCTGAATTACTGCAACTCTTCAGCAAAAATAGTAATATCACATGTTGTGATAGGCACAAAATGACATGGGTTAGAATCTTACCTAAAATGTCAGGTATTTCAAGTTTGCAGATATGTCTTGCAGATTGGTGATAATTTGTATGTAACGAACATTTAAGCCTACTTAACAGTTGCCTTCGTCTACATTAAATTAAAAGTAGTTCGGCTTTAATATAACCTTAAATCACTATGCTTAAATCGTTTAGACTGATGTCTACTATTCGATTCCACTATCAGTAGGAGGCAATCGGAAAATGAGAATTAGACAACCGACCTAATCTTTACGTGACTGACTCGTAAATTCTCATAATTAAATATTTAGATTATTTGCCCTAAATATTTCCTTAATAAAACACATATGACTAAAACACGGTAATATAATAACAGGGAGATTCTTACATGACAGTTAAGAATTTAAACATAAAAGAACTCAGAAACTAAATTTTTGGTCGACAGACTTTTAAAAAAATACTTACTTACTTACTTACTTACTTACTTACTTACTTACTTACTTACTTACTTACTTACTTACTTACTTACTTACTTACTTGCTTACTTACTTACTTACTTACTTACTTACTTACTTACTTACTTACTTACTTACTTACTTACTTACTTACTTACTTACTTACTTACTTACTTACTTACTTACTTACTTACTTACTTACTTACTTACTTACTTACTTACTTACTTACTTACTTACTTACTTACTTACTTACTTACTTACGCCTATTATACCCAATGGAGCATAGGCCACCAACCAGCATTCTCCAACCCACTCTGTCCGTTCTAGTTCTATACAATTGTTGTTCATTCTTCTCATTTCTGTCTCCACTTCTTGGCGTAATCTGTTATTTGGTCTTCTTCTTTGGCCTTGACGATTACAAGTGAGGCCTTGCTTTGTGACGCAGTTGGGTGCTTTCCTCAATGTGTGTCCTATCCACTTCCAGCGCTTCTGCCTGATTTCTCCCTCCGTTGGAATCCGGTTTGTTTTCCTCCACAGCATGTTGTTTCTCATAGTATTTGGTCAACAAATCCGAAGTATTTTGCGTAGACATCTGTTAATAAACACTTGTATCGAGATTTAGATGGTGGTTGGAGATAGTCAACAGGAAACCCTGGACTCGGGTTTCGTGCTACTTGGCACTCGTCACTTGTATCTTCTGGACGATGGCTTTCGTAGTTCTCCAGGTTTCCACCCCATACAGTAGAACTGTCTTGACATTTATATAAAAAATTCTGCCTTTGGTGCTGGTTGACAGACATTTGTTTTGAGTTTCAAATGTTCTTCAGTTGTTGAGATTCTGCTCCTGCTCTGCCGTTCTGTGCCTTCATATCTGCATCAGATCCACCATGTTCATCAATGATGCTGCCCAGATATTTATAAGTTTTAACATCTTCCAAATGTTCTCCATCATGTGTGATTCCATTGTTGCATGCCGTGTTGTCTCGGAGAATCTTGCTTTTCCCTTTGTGTATGCTGAGACCTACTGCCGCTGAGGCTACTGTTACACTGGTTGTCTTCTCATTATTAAAAAATACAGATCACTCAAAGTGAAAATAACTTCACCAATTTGTTGTTCTCATTTAATGGTTATTGTCTTAACAAGTCGAACGTTCGGTCACATAGTATACAGAATAAATAAAATTTATTTCAATATTTGCTCACTAGTGACTAGCTTCAAGATGGATTTCCTGGAGCCCTAGTGAGAACCGTGACCAGTAGAGTCCAATCCATACCAGGTGGTAACAGTTACCTACCACAGACAATGTATGAAGAGTTGCACAAGATTATAGATAGATTGAAGTTAAATATCGACACTGTTAAATACCGGCCTAGTGATTTAGAGGTTAGGCGTTTGTGCGCAAGACTGGAGCTCCTGAGATTGAGCGATCGCGCATGCGGGCTCGTGAATGCGCACTGCTGAGGAGACCCATACTAGGATGCTTTCAGGTTTCCAGCGATGGTCTTCCTTGGATCTACACATGAATTTAACCATTAAAATTACTACAGTCTCCACAGATCCCCATTCTAATAAACTTTAGTTTATCCAAAAGAATTCAAGAACATCGTCTGGTGTGACTAAAAAGAGGAAGCAATGGCTCAATAAGAAGTTCTATAATCGAACACCTTGTGAACACAGGTCACTCAATCAAGACAGACTCTACGTTCAAAGTCATCTACAAGGTAAGTGGAAGCCTTCCTAAGAGAATTAGACTGCATCTTCTTTGCATTGCCGAGGCAATAGCCATACATTTTGAAAAACCAGAATTATGTGTACAAAAGAGACTGGTACAACCTCTTCTTCTACCGTGATCTTAATGTATTAAAATTTTTCTCTTTCTTCATACTCTTGTTCCCCTATAGCCACCTGCTTCACCTTCCATCTTCCCTTCAAATCTTCTACCCCCAACCGGTTTGTTTTTACTTCCACGATCATTCCGATTACATTTCATCTCTGTTTCAACATTTTATTTTATCATGCTGAGCTATCCTCACCCGATGAATACTTAGGCCATTAACTATCAAACGATTATTAAACTTTCCTTGTTAAAAATTTTTTTCTAATACCTTTGTTTATTTAACCTCACTTTCACCATGTATAACAGAAGTTTATTATTAGTATTATTATCACCCTGTAAAAATAAGTAAATAAAGTTGCGATCGTACAACTTTGAAAATGAATTCGCCGAAAAGAGAACTCTTCGCTGAACTAATCTTTCTTTCTTATTTAATGTCATAATGGGTGTATTCCGTTTATTAAGAAATTTCTTTCATCATAAAAGATGAACAAAATGGACATCATTGTAAGGGCTCTCTAGGTATTTCGCAAATTTTATAGTTTATATCACTTACTGATTTTAAATAGATAACAAGTGAAAAAAAATTAGCTAGTACTGGATAGTTGTTTCCTCTAAAAATAAGGTTCGTCTCCAGTCTCCAGTCATGACTGAATTGAGAATTGTGCTCAGCAAAATCAAGTATTGTAGCAAGCAAATCTAGGTGGATATCCATTGTTCATTAGTATCTGCGTCGTTTATCAAGCTCGATATCGATTGTATTTTTGGTACAGATTCATCTGGCCCTCGTGTAGAGATAATGGGTCAGCTTCCTGTCTTGCTTCAATGGGACTTAACCCTGAAAATTCACGTATCATCCACGCCAATGAAAGGAGATAGTGCAGCAGAAATTTTGGTAGACAGACCTTCAAAATCTCTGAGGAAAGTATTCCATTAGCTCGAACTTCGCATCATCTTTTCTAGTCGGCCTATAAATCGTAGTTGTGTCAATGATAAGCTTCCGCTTTGTGCCAAATCAATGTGCATCTATCAGTTTACTTGCTCATGTGGACCAGATTATAATGGCCACACAATACGAGCTCTTTTGAAACGCAGTCAGAAAGGTTTGCTTAAAAGGACCCTATGTACATCAGAGGCTTTACTATCTACCACATCAAGCTTAACCTTTGCGTACAAAAACAGCATGTTCAGGCCTTCATTCGTCCATGGCATCAACTTTCCATTCTAAGATGTTGGTTGGAGGTAGTCCACAGGAAACCCTGGACCTGGGTTTCGTACTACTTGGCACTCGTCAGCAAGACGTACCTGTAATCTTGAGGGAACTGATGCTTCCTGACGGATTCGATCCCGTGTCACCCAGCTTAACAGTCACCTAGACTAGTGGTCACATTGCAACTTTGTCGATAGGATATGCATTATTACAGCTTTTAATTATTCGTTTCTTAATAGCTATTACGAGGACAATTATCTTTACCTCAGCACGTTTCAATAGCCGATTACTATATAACTTCGTTTCAATATCTGATTTCTGTAAACGATTCACGAAAATATATCACTTCAAGTTCTTTTAAGTTATTTAACATCATTCTGTTTTGTCACAGACTACTGCTTTTGCAGATGAAATTAATTATAAATACGCTTGTATAACTTGAAAAAAGTTAGGCTGTTGCAGAGGAAATTTTCTTCGTTTAATTGTCTTCATTAATCTTCAGTGATACAATGGGCCTCAAGTCATTATCCATTGGTTTACATTTCCAACTTCAGTTGATTCATGAACAATTGTTCAGTGTTTTCTGGTTTACGGTGGTTACCTAACTAAGATCAGTTTGTGAAGTAAACTATGAGGTATGAATATTGATTGGTACTTAGTAAGTAAACAAACTAAAAAATAAAACCATAATTATGTTGTAAAAACAACAATATTAATAAATATTATTTATAATTGTTGTCTCAACGATTCTTGACATAATCCACTGAATTTGCCCAATAATATGATAGACAAATGTATTATGATCTTCACCGTTATTGTTGGTAGTATGTTGATATTTGTTTATTGCAACATTTGATTGTGCATTTTGTTTTATAACATGATAAAAATGACATGAACATCTTGCATAAGCATGAAAATGATTAAGTCTTGTCCAAGTGATTTGGTGTGTTGAAATAATTGACCAGTTATATTCGTTTATCAATCTGATTAGTTCTTGATTCCTTCTATGTTCATACATTCGTCTCGACTAAATAAAATGCGTATACACGGAGAGTGATTGAAAACGCATTATAAACAATCAAAGAATTTGAATTTATTTATTAAAACAATATTGAATTTAAAATTATTAGTTTTTCATAACATTATATTCAATTGCTTCATAAATATAACTACTAGTCATTTTTAATAAAAGCACGAACTGATCTAAGTTAAACAATCGTTGACAACCTGAAAATGATCGACTGTTTCATCCTAGCATGGAACTCCTCAGCAATGTTCACTCACCATGGCAGATAGGACCCAGGAACTTCGATTTCATATGCTAACGCTTAACCTCCAGACCACAAAGCCGGTATCTAACGGTATTATTGTTCAACTTTAGTCATTTCGAGGTATTGGGTCAGCATCTGCCATTGTCTTTGGTGGATACGTTTCTCATACCCGAAAGATTTGTGTTGAACTAGTCACGGCATCGGACCAGAACCCCGGAAATTTCCTTTCGAAGCTAGTCACTGGTGATCAGAAGTTAACTTTGAGTATCAAGGTTGTGGGGACTTGAATTTTTCAATTACTGAATATTTTATTAAGTGAACTGGTGTCAGTAAAATCTTTAAAACTGTGAAGTATTTATATCAGTGTATCACAGTTGACGAAACACTGAAACAGAAGACCTAAAAACTGTTAGTAATTGACGTCATGAAACTATTGAACAAATAGTCTTAGCCTAGTTGAATGTGTAATTAATTATCTAAATAACTTGCAAGATCAGTTTGTTGCATGTGGTGCATAATGATTGTTAGGGTTTCCACGGATGATCAGAATTTTTTTGTTACGATATGCAAGAAGTTTTCGGTATTTTTTTCAATTAATATTTGCCCACTGACCTTCGCTGTCATCTGACTAGTTGTTCTTGCTTTATTTTACTATTTTGTCATGTGTCTTAAGGTTATGTTCTTCCATCTAAGCAGAATTATTCTACTATAATTTTGATTTGCGTTCGGAATATTAGGGGCCGTTGTAGAAGTCTCTTCATCTTTTTTGTTTCTCATATTCGTATGTTGATTTTTATAGTCGAAATGATACAATGTACTAGTCATGTAATCTCTCTAGTTCATGTATATTGCGACTAGTGTAAAAAATCTCCCAGTAGTTCACAACAAAAGTATTAAAAAAACATATTTAGTTATATTTATTTGTACTACGTCATAATAATTGATGAATGGGTGTGTTGAAGTTTACAAAACAACATATGCACTTTCAAAGTCTTGATAATAATAAACGTTCGAAAAAGTTGAGGTTATGGGAAACTCTCCATGAGTAAATATTTTTTAAAAATCTGATATTTCATTCTAGTATTAAAGATAGTTAATCTAGCTGTTTGTTTTTCAGCCATTTGGTTTCAAGCTCATCTAAATCAATTTCTAAAACCAAGTAGTATCTTCAGTACATTCACCCAAAGTGCGACCCAAAGTCAAGTACACACAGTGATTTGTGGTGAGTTAGTGAATTACACTATTATGTCATCAGTAGATGGTCATCCTAGTTCTGATTTGGATAACTTTACAAATCTCTGCCTTCTCCTAGAACTTTAGGAAGTTCATTTCGAAACTATGCACCAATATGTGAAATAAGAGAAAATCAATTTCGGAATAAAAAGTATAAGATAATTTTGAAAGTTAGGATCTAATGGAAGATGACTAAGGAATGTATCCATGTCACTGCGAAAAATCCTGAGCTTTGCCACCTAACGTCTTCAATCATTGGCTACAATAACCTGGTTAACCTCAAATAGTTTGTCTTCATCCACAAAAAGTGACTCAGTGCGACAGTAAGAGACTTCATGAACTGAAAAGGCTGCACCTAACTCCCTTCAAACCAATTTTGACACTAGCAAGCATCGCACATCAAGATAGGCATTGATTGGACAAAAGTCGCAAAGATATCTTACAAATATAGTTACTTACCCAATTAACAAACGGTAATCCATCAACAGGTGTGTGAAAACCAGCAGAATAATCTTTGATATACACTTTGACGGAACGAAATACCTTTCTGTGTAATAATTAGTGGGGCAGTGAAAAATGATAGCACAGTAATTATATTTTCAGTGAGAGTTTTTGATATGGTACAATTTCAAACAAAATAATAATTAGTTGATAGATCATCAAGCAGTCTGTCTTCTGATTCACATTAATGATTATGTTCTGTCAACAAAGCTGCTCTGTGGAAATTAGGCTAATTGAAACACACGTAACTATATATGGTTTGTGAAAATTGTTAAATTTCGTTTTACATCACGGACTCCTCTTAGACAGCCATTAAAGCAAGTAGACAATGGATATTTGTTTTGTATTATTATAAACATTCATCCAACCGGGGATTGAACACAGACCCTTCAGATCTCAAGTGAGTGCTTAAAATTTAGCACATAGTTGGTAATTAGTGGTTTACGCTTCTAACGCTTCAATTCACAGTATTGCTAAAAGAAATTAAAGTGTCTAGAATTACTTTACACAATGCAATGTTTGAGAGAGGATGTTTCTGAAAACGGGAAGCTTCAGCCTCAATCTAATAAATAATTAACCACACTTTTCAGACCCTATGATGTGTTTTACAAAATCACCCTATTACAAGCTAAAAAGCCACACGATATTAGTCAATAAAGAACACTGTAAAATAACAAATGTTAAAGTTCCTTCTACACACGTTTTCTGTCATTGGAAATAGGCTACAAGTTTAAGTTCGAAAAACAGTGATCATCCATTTTACGTGGGAGATATACAAACTTTTAGATGATTCTATGTAATTATCATTGTCATCCAGCTATTTGTATCAATCAGATCATGACTGTACTATTTAAAAAAAACATTTTTAATCGTCATTATTATTATTATTATTATTATTATTATTATTATTATTATTATTATTATTATTATTATCGTAATCATCATCAATCTCTATCATTACCAAAAATTAAACACCTTTATATAGAACCACGAATACTGGTTATGAGTTATTGTTTCTTTAGTTTTATGAAGCACATACATTTTCCAAAATTTCTAAAGTAAAAATTTATTCAATACTTTCACGGTCATTTCTTGATGATATTATTTTATTGGCAAATAAATTTAGAAGTCTGTTGAATACATGAAGCCAATATGTATAGGTTGGAGAGAAAATAATAAAATAGTTCGGCCATATCAATTATGAGACAATTACCTACCAGTAGCATTAAAGAAAGATCGCCTAATGTTGTGAATTAATTAATATTGGAAATTCAAACTATTAACTGTTGATTCAGTGGTTTAAAGGTTAAACGGGTGGTTCGAAACCTAACAGTCTGGTTATCGATGAGGTCATGGTTGTATACTACTGAGTCCGATACAAGGACTAAACAACTAATAAACTTTTCCTGGTTTTCAATGTGCATTATATCATCTCGTCATTTAAACAGTAGATTAAGTAATGTATTTGAGTTTTGACAATTTTTTTGTATTAAAGTTTAAAGATATAATTTATGAAATACGTCATTTCATAAAAGCCATTTTTCAAAGTAGAATACTTTCATAATAAACTTATATCATATGATATAAACTGAAGTACTGTCAAATGATACAGAAATCAAAATGATCTCATGATTAACCAATATTAATTAGCATATGAAAGAGATGATTAGGGATGGGTTTGTATGATCTCCAGCTTAATTTCAACAACAACATTTTGACTATTTTTACCTTTAGTTAGCTATGAACTGACATTATGCCTTATTACTCTGATTAACATCTGCAAACAACAATGGACATGAAATCTTTAAGTCGAAAATCTCACTTCACAAAATTCTATGAAATTGGAACCATTTTAGAAACATGGCGTGCTAAAAAAAAATATATCGACAGGCATAAACCTTAGTAATTTACCCGTAAACGGTAATAAGTTGACCGTACCATCAATGAGAATGAAAACCCATACGAGATCACCGAAACCTACGAAAATACTAGTCACACCAAGTTTTCAGAATCGACTGATTAAATGTTAGTAAATTAATTAAACGGTTACGTGAACAACTCATTGATGATGTAAATAATTGTTATGGTGGCATTAAAAAGGCAAAATTACATTCTTTACTCATCATGGTTCATATTCAACATTACTTCCATCTTTTTTAATTCAATGTAATGATTACTCAGTGTAGTAGTTGGTTTGTTTCCAAGTGTGATATTTTATTCGTTATAACACTGATTTATTTCAGTGTGATGAGATTGTTCAGGATACGATAGATATTCTTGTATTAAATTAATATGAACTATACTGAGTATGACGTGTAGCATGCAATTTATTATAACTGTAAGAATTTATCATATATGTGATTTTATCCTAATTAATGGGATGGGATGGGCGTATAATTGATATATAAACGATTGTATTTTGGACTTTGGTCGTTCTCGTGTTTTGGGATTAATAAATTTTCACTTGTATCAGTCATAGTGTTCTTACTTCACGTCGTGGGAATTGTAGTGGATAGGTATAAGTAATAAGCGATTGAGACATAACAAGAATAACAATCAAAAATTCTTATTGAAACTGTTTAGTTCATAACACATTATCTAAAATCATGTAAATACAAACAACATCCAACTGCTTTTAGGAAAGTCAAAATATCTATAATAATCTATTATCATTAAATAACAGCCACAGGCCGTAATATTGTACCTGGATTCTCACTCAGTATATTCTTTAAACTTTAGACGATAATCACAAAAATGATACAAGGAGTTGAACTGATACAGATCGTTGGATATAAAACAAACATCCTGTTCTTAAAATGTTTTCTTGGAAGTCAACAAATTGGTTATATTTTCACATTGTTAAGTGTTTTGGAGGTAATCTATAAGAAAATGTGCTTAGTCAAGGTTTTTTGTTAACCGTCACTCTAAATCAGGTCATAACTTGAATTCTAAGGAAACTAATGCTTCCCTCAGGATTCCGATTTACATCATCCAGCTTGACAGTCTTTGACGTTACCATCTATCTGCTTTGTTGAAAATTAGTCGGAAGGGATTCGTCAACACTAAGGACTAGATAAGCGTGACAGAAGCTACTATTCAATGGTCAGTCACTGTCTGCTCACTTTAGAGTCATATATCTCTGGAGAAATACTCACGATTTCACTGTGCTTTACAAACAATAAGTCAGTAGTGTTTGATTGGTCAAATATCCCAATAGATTACTTGGATGAAAAGTAATATACAAAACAGAGGATATTTTCAGTATTGTTAACGTTTAGACAGTGAATAATCTCATTCAGATTGACATTTTCGGGCTACAATCGATTTTATCACATCTCAAGCATCGGCTATATGTATGAATAATGCAGAAAAAATGTAACTTACTGTTTATCGATAAATACTTGTATTGCCTTTAAATGATACGAATTTAGCCATCTTACACCACCCACGAACAACAAAGCTTCATTGAATGTTTGGTTAAACCTGTCATAATAAGCGAGAGACAGAAAAAATGGGTTAGTGTGAATGAAGCACAGGCAAAAAACAGCACTGTAAAAATTAACATAATAATAATATGAATGGCTGAACTTCGTTTCATGGTGAAATAATTAGGGCAGAAACAACAGTTAAGCCATTATATATATAAACAAAGATGGATGGTGGCTAGTAGTGGAATCCAGGACGCGCGTTTCGTCCCATTTGGGACTTATCAGCTGAATGTACCTGCCTCTCAGAGTTAATGTTCACTCAGACACTCGAACCCAGTATCGTTCGTTTGAAACGCCATCAGATTGTCTACTTAGATACTGAGTCCTGATATCCACTTGTATGTGCAATCAAAAATTTTAAATTCACTCAGTATTGTTTGTTTGAATCTTATCACTGATATTTAGGATTGCGACCGATCAGTTTTTAATTGGCATATATGCATACTGTGTATATTGACTTAAGTCACAAGCACTATAAGCATATATAACATTATCATCAATAATTTTACCATAGTCCCCGTCTTGAAGGTAAGTCGCACATTTTCGTTATTGTTCTATCGTTGTATTATTTAAATGAACACAAATATGAGTGTACATTTGGTTGTCTATAAAACACATTCATACATACTAAATGCACACATAATCTGTTGATTTAAACAACACTAATTCCTCAGCGTTTCTATTGATCAGTGAAATGCTTCCTCTACTAACAGTACACCGATTTCAAAATATATAAAATGTAATGTTCATTTTTAACTTACATAAAAAGTGATTTTAATAAACTGTTGAATGAATTTATTTTATTTTTATTATTTAATTGTGATTTTATTGAATAATCTGGAAAATAAGTAAATCGTGTAGTTATTGTTGCACTGTTAATCAGCGTTATTTGTCCATGTGTTTCTTGAACGTGGGATAGTGTTTTGTTTACACGATACAGTAAGGAATACATTAAACCGCGTAAAGTTGAATCGCCCAAGAAAAGAAGCTAAAACAAAATAGTCTATTTAAATGTTTCTTTTTTTAGAAATCAAGGGTAATAAAATATGTTCAGATTTCTTAAACTCTGATCAATATCATGAAAAAAGGTTTGAATCATTTCAACCTAGTGAATACTTATACAACTTAAATATTTATTTAAGAAAAGTAACCTTTTTTGGGTTAAAACAATTAAATTAGAAAAGTTAAGTAGTATTCCATAAACAAAGTACTTAACATTTTCAACAAAGCAAGTAGCTATGCATTATGTATATTTTGATGAGGGTTAGGTGTTAAACATAAAACTTTAGGCACTCTCGATTTTGTGTTTGCTAGTTATCAGTTTTCGAATATTGATGACTCAATGCTCATGATTATCGAGATGTATTTGAATTCATGTGTCGAAATAAGGCGACCTCTGAATTAACCTTAAAGGTTTTTCAACGTTTTTCAGAGAATCAGACAAAAGCAAATATGAATGAACGATTTTTAATATATATCTTTATTTTTACATTATACAAGACGTTTTCTAGATTGGCTGTGAAATATTTTGTATCTATCTAAAAACATTCGATAAAGATACTCATCCAGATGACTTCATTAGCTTACATACTCGAAACTCTTTGTCTCGTTGCAAATAGTTTTTTAACTAAACTGAAATGTCTTTCATGTTTATAGTGCGTACTGTTGTAGTGACAATTAAAGTTCAAATCGAAATTAATCACCAAATATTTATTTAACCCAATGAACTTCTTCAAGTATATTTGTAGAATAGTCTACGTAGGTCTTTCTGGTTCTTATTGCCAAGTGCATTGTAAGGAGTATTCACTTGATTTTCTTCAACTTTCTATGGGAAGAAAATCTTTTCTCCCTTTTCATAGTCTTTAATGCATATCATAATCAGGTGTTACTTTATCTCGTAATCCTCTCCATTCTTTCACAATTACTCGTCATATGCGATCACTGACGAATGAGTTCTTTAACAGTTAAACTTTTTATAGAAAGCTCATTACTGTTTCTTCATTAAAATGTAGGGAATAATTCTTATCTTAGCTCTATATATATGAGATAAATTCAAAGTGACTTACACGTTCCTGACTTCTTCGGAACTATAATTACACAAACACAACAGAGCTTTTTAGTCATATAACCATTTGTTAACGTGTATGATATGGTTATTAATTTTAATGTTAATGACCTTCCACTGTAAATAATTAGAACTGAGATGATCGGTCCCTGTTGTTATATAAATTGTCTGAATAAAAATATTAGGAATCGTAGTTAAACAATTAATGCAACAGCAGAAACTGACCAATTTAACCGTAAAATATCAACGGTAAAAATATCCAATAGACTACAAAATAAGAATTTACCGCCATAGGAAATTAAAAATACATAAACGAGATCATGAACCGGTCAATGTTTGACCACCATTGAAAACATTGGAGCACTGGATGGTTTAAAAATCCCCATAGAGTATTCAGAAATGAAGAATATTTGAGCAAACAATTCTTTTCAATAACTTCATCGTCAGGCTCTTTAGTTAGAAGTCCATAAATATGATATTTTACAAAAGCTAAACTAAAGGCATAATATCAAAATAGAAGAAGTTTTCTCTGTTTTATATCAAGTTCCAAAGAATCTACCTCAAGGAGCTAAATTACGGTCACTCTACATAGCCGCACCTATCTGGATCAACTTCAGAAAACCGAACTCATGTATCCAGAAAAAGTATGTCTAGCCTTCACTTTTACCTTGGTCTACGACTGGATAACTGAATATTATAAAACATTTAGCCCCTTCCATTTTTTTATTACATCCATCTTTCCCAATTCAAATGAATTCTCTTTTATCGTAATTACCTTGATAACAACCATCTTATTACATATTATTCTAACACAACGGTATTATTATTATTACGATTGGTATTATCATTATTAGCTCGATTAATGAGATGAAATTCAGCGAGACTATAATTTATGGTATAGGGTAAAAGGTCTCAGATTTTAGCGCGAAATCCACTCATCCATTTGGCCAAATAAAGTTTCGGCATTATAGCTGATTTCAGTTCGTGACGAAAACCTTAAATTTAATTTCTAACCTTAACCATCAACTGTAAATTATAATTTTAATTCCCCACACAGGTTTATAACCCTCATTTGGTCCTAGTTAATAGGTGGACACTCTCAAGGTCAGCCTAGAGACGCTTAAAGGTCATCCATAAATTATAGCCTCACCTGAAATTCTTTTACTATGTATTTTATTCACACGATTTTTTCATTTTCATTTTTGCTATATTATCATTACACTGATTGCAACTTAACCCTTTAATAGTTGAATTCATGAGTCGATTAAAGCTAGACCATCATGGAAAATCTGGAAGCACTGAACAACCGTTTGATCCCAGTATGGGACTCGTCAAAAGTGTGCATCAAACTCGCATACGGGATTGTTGGAATCCAAAAGCTTCAGTCTCGCGAGCGAACGTTTAAACTCTAGTCCACTCGGTCGGCATCCAACGCTAATAATGTCTAACCTGATACTTTACTCCAAATCATACTGACCTTTATTAAATGACCTTTCGAGTTTACAAATAACACAATTTTGAAGTATATATGTCGTAACAGATACGAACACAGATCATTTTCAACATATAGCATTCTCAAATTTATTAATACAAACCTTATTTTGGCCTTTGTAAAATATCATTTTTATGGACTTCTTACTGAATAGCCTGACGATGAAGTTATTGAAAACAGTTGTTCGCTCAAATATTTTTCATATTTGTCTCAATGATCAATTTCTGTTATGTTTGTGTTTTCCATCTGACATGTTGACCTACGCTGCACAAAAGGTTTGACAATGGACATTTAATGATAACTGTTCACTGAAACGTACACTCATGTATGCAACACACCAACTAAACGAGAGGGGAAATGCCCATAAATGTTAGATACGATATACTCGTCCAGGCCTAAAGACGTTACAATTAAACCTCGATTTAAGTTCTTAATACCTAAACTTGTTAATCCCAAATACAATAAAGATATTGATAAGATGATCAGTTGTACTCCACCAGAAATACTTGATCCTAAGAATCAACACTAAGAAGGACGGAGAAGTACAAGTCTCATCTAGTTTTTCCTGTTAACTATAATCACAAACATCTATATACCGGTTGACTTTAGAGACCAACTGTCGCACACATTTAGAGCTTTGAGATTATAAGTATGGAGGGATTTATAAAAAATTGTAGAGTCCTCTCAGTTGAGATTACGAACTGTTTCTAGTTAGATCAGCGATGAGAACCTAAGAGCATTAGACGGAATTTTCGCCCTAATATGGGATTCCTCAGCTCCATATATCCACAGCCCGACTAAGAGGGATAGACTTCGGAAGGTTCTCACGCGAACTCTTCACCTTTAGAATACTGAGCAGGGATCAATTGGTGTATTTACTTAACATCGTGACGGTCTTACATTGCTTGAAGTAGATTACTCTCTCACACCCTACATGGTTAAACGCAACTGGAAACAGCCTCTAATAAGAACTTTAGGAGTTGCTTCCTGATGCTAGTTATTAGTGAACACATGGTTATTATTATAAAGGTATACGGAGATCTTTGAATTTTCATAGTTTTAATCACGAACTGATCTTAAATAGACTATCTCAAGCGAGATCAATCATCCTGAGTCCAATCCCTTGGGGTGTGGCAATAAATACCCATTGATGAGGTTTTATACTGGAATGAAGCATCGGTCCAGTATTTCCTATTTTTAGGTAGTGGTCAGTTAGTGAGTCAAATTATTAAATTACATTTAACTCGTTGCCAAATATAAGCTATGACAGTAACATCTACATGGTATGATTTATAATCGCCATCATCATTATCGTCATCACAAGTTACATAATGCGAATGACAGATAGGATCTCAAATCGCTATTATTGTTGCTATGCAATGGACGTGAAATAGAAACAGTTTTCTCTGAAATGTTTTCGTTGTTAATTTTTTACACGCACATATGTAAAATTCAATATAACCGCTTTTTATGATAATAAATCAATCATAAATTCACACTGATGATAGACGGAAATGTAAAACTAAACTACATTTTAAAAAATTCTGACAAAACTACATGTAACTATTAAACACAGAGTTTCAAACTGGTTTGTGATATGTAATAAATCGAATCATACAATTTAAGTGACTTATTGAACAGCATATTTTGTTCATTCTTAGGCATCAAGTGTATACTGATGTTGTTGATCAGTCGGTGAACAATGCAAGATAACTTGGGGTTGTATACTAAAATTCCTTTTCAGGTTCCTCAAGAAATACCCTTCCTTAGTGTGGGCAGCCGGGAAGTGATATCAGCTCTCATACCCGTAACAACACACGAGACCAAGTTGGTCACATTCAAATCTCTCCTACATCTTCTAATGCCTTTTTTTATCTCCCCGACTAACCCTTCTCATATCCTTTTATCACTTAGCACCGCTAGGATAAACGATTCGAGTACGCGGAACGCTATTCCTGGTCTCCTGAAACCACGCTCTAAACTACATGTAGGAGCTTTTAACGTCTGAACACTGTGACAAATAAGACAACAGGCTTCCTTAGCTAGGACTTTAGAATCCCGCGCCATCGATGTGTGCTGCGTCTCCGAAACGCGCATACAGGATCCGAGTAACAACATTCATCTGACCTCACCATGCCAAAATAAAGAACCGGCTCGATTCACACTTCGTGTATCTGGAAGCGCTGATTCTGCTTCCCGTGACCTCACCGGCGTAGGTATATCATTGAGTCCTAGGGCAGAACTAGCTCTCTTAGACTGGATCCCAGTAGACAATCGTTTGTACGCTGTCCGACTAAACGGAACAACAAGGACTCAGAAAGATAGGGACACGCGTCGTTGCCTCTGCCTATTCTCCTACTGACTGCAGCTCAGATGATATAAAAGATGACGTTCTCCGAAAATCTGGGTGCTCTGATCTAGTAACAGTGGCCGGTGACTTTATTGCTCAAGTAGGTAAACTAAGCGATAGGGAAAGACACGTGGATGGATCTTATAGTGTCGTGGCTCAAAAACAGATAATGGGGACCTTCTGTTGCAGCTATGTTCAGATAACCGCCTTTTTCTTGCAAATAATAACTTTAAGCATAAGGAAAAACATCTTTTAACGTGGAGGCCCCCTAATTCGTCCCAACGTTGGACCCAAATAGATCAGATCGCTATCAGCCACCGATGGAGGGGCTCGATAGAAGACTGTCTCTCATTCTGGAGCACATGCTTAGATTCAGATCGTGCTCTAGTACGAGCGCGTAACTTTCTGCGTCTTACTGGACTTAGGAAAGACGCTGTAAGTAAACCTCTTAGGGCCCTACTTAATGATAGTCAAGTTAAGAGTATATTTTAGGAACAACTAGGAAAACAGTTAGACAGCCATGTATGTGATGCCCACCCCGAGGCAGCATGGAATGATATCCGAAAAGCTGTGAAAACAGCAGTGATATCTGCTAGTACGGTAAACAGTAAGGTTAGGGAGCATCATTGGATCTCAGCAGCATCTACCGCACTGATAGATGCTCGAAAACTCATTCCATCTGGATCTGAACATAACGAAGAGCGGAGTCAGCTTAAGCGCAAGCTGACAAGAAGCCTACTCAATGATCGCGAACAGTGGTGGGTAATGAAAGTAAGAGAGATGAAAAAGGCAGCGACAATAGGTAATAACAGACAATTGTTCAGACTCGTTAGGGAAATCGGTATTAGGAACTCGACCGTTAGCAAAACAATCTCAGAGAAAGATGGACATATTATACATTCTCAATCCAGGAGATTGGATCGATGGGCAGAACACTTTAGGGATCAGTTCAACTGGCCTTCGGACACACTTCGGTTTCCCACGATCTCCAGTAAACCTGAATGGCAAGTTAATATAGGTCCTCCGACTCTTTATGAAGTTGAAAAAGCTATAAGAAATCTGAAGAGAGGGAGAGCAGCAGGCCCTGACAGGTTCACTCTTGAGATTTTTAAGGATGGTGGTTCAGTATTAGCAGTTAGATTAACTGAGGTCTTAGGTAGAATTTGGGAACTGGACGTAATCCCATCTGACTGGTCTCAATCACTGATTGTGCCAGTCTATAAGAAAGGACAAAAGTCCTCTTGTGACAATCACACAGGAATCAGTTTGACTAATATAGTGTCTAAAATATTAGCTTCAATAATACTTCGACGCCTAACCAAAACTCGTGAAGAGCAGACTAGAAAAAATCAGACTGGTTTTCGACCTGGTTGTATAGACCAGATATTCACACTACGTCAGGTTCTAGAACACAGACACACGTCCAGGCGCCCCACAATGGTAGTATTTCTCGACCTTAAGGCGGCGTTCGACTCTGTTGATCGTAAGGTTCTATGGCAGTGTTTGTCACTGAAAGGAGTACCAAAGAAGTACATTAACCTTATACAGTCTCTCTACTCGAACACAACTGGTAGAATGAGAGCTTATGGCGAACTGTCATCAGAATTGATTACCTCAAGTGGTGTTCGTCAGGGCTGCCCACTCTCCATTCGTGTTTAACTTTGTCATTGACGTACTTTTAGAGATAACACTTTCCTCATCTAAATTTACAGGAGTTGAACTTCTACCGGGAGGTTCACTTGTTGACTTAGAATATGCTGATGACATAGTTTTATTTGGCGAAGACGCTGACAAAATGCAGAGTCTTCTGACCACTCTAAGCAACAATGCAAGCATGTTCGGGATGCGGTTCTCCCCTCGAAATGCAAAATGTTGCTTCAGGATTGGGTGGCATTGACACTCGAACTAATGATAGAGATTGAAGTAATTGAGCGTGTCGACCGCTTCACTTATCTTGGAAGTCTCATCAGCCCTTATGGTCTGGTGTGTGACGAAATCTCAGCACGGATACAGAAGGCTCGACTAGCTTTTGTCAACTTGCGTCATTTATGGCGTAGGCGAGATATCTGTCTATCGACCGAAGGACGTGTTTACTGCGCAGCAGTTCGTTCCGTCCTACTTTATGGCAGTAAAACGTGGCCGGTAAGAGTAGAGGATATTCGTAGGTTAGTAGTATTAGTAGTATTCGATCATAGGTGTCTTCGAAACATTGCTCGTATATCTTGGGACCATCAAGTAAGTAACACAGTTGTTAGGAAACGGGTACTAGGTAAGGATGGCAAATCAATTGATGAAGTTGTGAAACTTCATCAGTTGAGATGGCTGGGACACGTGTTACATATGCCCAACGACCGACTACTTCGACGTGCCATGTTCAGTGGTATAGGAGTAGGTTGGAAGAAAGCTAGGGGTGGCCAGACCAAAACATGGCACAAGTCCATGAAGTCACTGACAAGTGGTCTGAGTCATGTTGGTAGGTGTAGAGTCCCTGGTTGGGGACCGCGAGATGATAGCAACCGATGGTTAGAGACCTTGAATGTCATGGCTCAAAATCGTTTGCAATGGCGCAGGTGCATCCACTCTTTGTGTTCTCCCAAATTCTAATCTTCAGGATTCTTTATGTCCCTTTTTTTCCTCTTCCCAAATTTATTTCACTGGATTATACTCTTTAAATAACATCTCCAAACCCTAATCTTCCCGATTACTGCTTATACTCTTATTACCTCTACCACTACGGGATTTGAATCGACCACTGCATCTCTGTGTTAGTGTGGTGTAGCAACTCGAACTAATGTATGTACGTACGAAGTTCTACGTTGTTACTGACTGACTGACTGACTGACTCATTTGAAACGCATACGGAAACTGTAGGGAGCGATTTTATTATAAAGATTGAAGCTTTCCTTCGTGAACTTCGTAGCTATAAGTATGATCATGTTGTTATTTCAGACACATTGAATTCAATCGGTCACTGCAACTCCGAATTGAATTCTACCAATCTGACTCTTAATGTGGTCACTAAACATGGTAGGGGCAAATACCACAAAGGATATGACAGGATGATATTGAATTATCGATCAGTTATCTTCAGTTTAAATATTTTATTCCAAATGAAAAATTATTAGTGTAATCTAAGTTGAATTCGCGAATCAACTGAAGTTAGGATTACAATCCTTTGGATACCAACTGAGAGACCCAAAGATTTTGGGTCAGTTATCTGGTTGAGCCGTAACTGCCGGTGGCCGAGATACTCTATATTAGAACGAAACATGTATCTACTACTTCCTGGTTTTTAATGGTTGTCGATGTAAGACCACTTTGTGCAAACTATGAAACTAAGCTGAGATATTTTATTGAAAGTTGTTGCGTTTAGGAAAATGTTAATACGGTACGAGAAATTTCATTGACGTTTATATTCAACCAGACAAAATATATTAGTGTAGATACTTATGATGAGTTTACAAGTATGGTATACAGGTAATTTGTCCTTATCTTGTTGGAAAACGAAGTCTTAAAACAAAGGAATGATTTTGCAAACATTTAGCCCTGTTTTTAAAGAATTGGTAAGCACTTTATTCATCAGATCACAGAAAATGGTCTCCAATCTCAGTAAGAGTATACCACCAATCACCTAATAGTTACTAAGCTAGCGAAATGGAGTATTAATCAATCTCATTCTGAGAAAAATAATAAATGGATATCAAATATACTACTTACTACACGGTTTCTTACGTAGGTTGTTATTAGACTTTTATCATTTTGAATACTTCTTTTATTGTATAAACAGGGATAGATTGGATCATTAGGTTCGTACCATAATGCATTTGACCAGTCGCAGTTTGTTTCATTTGATGTATGATTACAACTCTTACAAGGGATAAACCACGCAGAATGTATAATCTGCAATCCTATAAATTGAAAAAAAGCAATAAGAAGTCAATTAAGGCAAGATGTGAACATCGTCGTATGTGGATTAGTATAATGTACTTACTTATTTGAAGTGCAATTGGTGGAAAGACCGGTATAAATTGTGTGCAATATATGTTTACTCATGACTAGAATTGATTTGTATAAGCACTGTAACCGGAATATTGGAGTTAAAAGTTGTAAATAACACTAAGAAAAGAGAAGTGAATCATAAATTTTGACAGTCAGATTTACAAGAGGTGCAGTCACCAAATTATTCCAATTATTTCTACATAATAAAGATACTTTCCTCGTTATATGTTACATATTTTAACAAAATGTTTCTTCCATATTTTCTATTAAATTAATCATATAATTTTGCTGATGCCTGTGTATGCTAAGATTTCAGTTTTGGATGGGAAGTGAAATTCACTAAGATATACATCCTTGTCAGTGATAGGCATATATATGAGGAAAACGGGAAACTTGAAATCTACTGATTATTTGTTTTAAACGTCAACCATTAACACTAATAGTAAAACTAAACAGTGCTATCGAACAAGTCGAGATTTTAATTAACACTTAACTAATGGGTGGTTCTATATACGATAATAATATTATGAAGTACCTAAGTTGTATAAAATTGATAAGAACGGTTCCACTCTTTTGACGATGAGTAAGTGTGGTTCAGTATGACAGAACAAATATCCTGCTCAATGATTATTGTTTTAGTACCATTCTAATTCCGAATGTGAACCAATAGGAACCGGCTTTCTTTTTCAAAATAAATTTATAAGAGGCCTGTCGGGTTAGTATTGTAATGGATATTAGCCACCCTTATTATGTACTGATAGTGTAACGGACGAAATAATTTTCATATAAGACGCTCCTGAAGTCAGTCACTAGTGAGCAGGTGATTATTATTATCAGAATGGGTTTTGTGGAGATTTTAGAAATTTCAGGAGATACTTCTGGAGTTCTAGTGAGAAGTCGTTACCAGTGGAGTTCAACCAGGTCTGTTGTGAGATAGTAATTCACTGAGGACAATGGTGTACGGTAGCGCAACTTCGTGGATTGGTTGAAGTTAGACATTAACACCGTTGGATGCCGGCTCAGTGGTCTAGTGGTTAAGTGCTCGCGCGCGAAGCCAGTAGGTCCTGGGTTCGAGCCCCGGGTGGTGCGGGGTCGTGGATGCGCACTGCTGAGGAGTCCCATACTAGGACGAAACGGCCGTCCAGTGCTTCCAGGTTTTCAATGGTGGTCTAGCTTCAACTGACTCATGATTTCTATCTGTGAAATTTCTAAAATCTCCACAAAACCCATTCTGATAATATTATCTCATAACTTTATTTTCTCAATTTTTCAATTGAGTTATAAAATAGTAGGAAAGCCTCAAATAATCTATTGTTAAAATATTTATGAATTTAGATAGAAATTAGGCCACATTCGATTCCATTGTAAAGGTTAGAATCTTTGCATTACTGGTCTTAAAAACTAAACAATTTTAGTTTACGTTAGTATATTTGCATATTAAACTGAAATTAAATGAGTGAGTATCGAATTGAAAATTCTCTGATATAGACACGATGGACTTATTTAGATTTCATTATTTTTCCAGCGGAAAAGTCTGTGTAGGTGGTAATACGTGATAGTGGTGTAATGTGGTTTCAATATTTTTGTTACTTATCTCGTATCCTGCGAAGGAAGTTTTCCCAAAGTTAAAAATGTTTGCCTATATGACAAATGAAAGTTATGTTAGAAAATTACAAAATCTACAGAAATATTAATTTATTTCTATTTGTATATTCCTAAACACTTTTACACACTATTGAAATGTGCCAAAACGAATTCCTTTAAAACGATTGACTGAATTATCCAGTCACTAAAACGTATTATTATTCAACTAAAAATTGTCCACGTGGACATGTTACATGTTTCGTATTATATTTTAAAAATAGTTAATTATCTTAGTCAAGTTCATACACAACACAAATATAGATTACTGCAATCTACAAAACGTTCATGCTATAATATTTTCATAATTGAACTGTGTCAACGAAGCAGTAAAATAGTTAGTAGCATAAGATACTCATCTGATTTCGACCTAATTTTATGTCATAATCAAATAATTACTCAGTTATTATAAAATTTGTAATTTTATAGATGGAGTTCAATCACCACTATAAAATTAGACAAATAAAACATTAGTCATTACCCGATGATTAATCAATTGTAAGAATCTCAATCCTACATGAAGTCGGTGGAGACCTAACTAGCCCAATGTTAAAAATTCACACTGTAAGGATGCATGACGCGAATTCAAATTTCACAATTAGCATCGGTTCCTTCAAGCTAACAGATTGAACTTGTTGTCGTGTATCGAACAACATGAACCCTAGGTTCAGAGTATCTTGCCGACTGCCTCCAACGATTTAGCAATAAAATTTGTTATGATCCAAATATGTTTATTTGCTTTAGAAGTGTTTCGGATCATTTTCTAAAATGGAACTAAAGTATGTGATGATATTTGAGAATTATTTGTGAAAAAACGAATAACTAAGTAAATCATTTGTCACGGAGTGCTTACAATAATAGTTTCCACTTGATTACCATGGTCAGTTGAATAAAAAGAATATGGTTTGTTAGTAGAGTGAATCAAATTGCAGTGTACATTAGAGACATTTTAGAGTACATACGAAGTAAGTCTCTTAAAATAAACATTTTGAAGCAGAAAAACTTCGAGAAAGTTTGAAATATATGGTTTTACTATCAAAAATTAGTCATTATATTCTTCATTCAATTCACAAAATATATGCATTTTAATATATTCGAAATTTTTTGCCAACCAATTTACCAATGAATATTGAAGATTTATTCCATCACAAAATAATAATTGTTTTAAATTGTATTAAATGGTTTTTCAGCTCTATAATGGGATCTGATTTCTAGTTCTATTGAAGAACTCACAGAACAGAATTCAGTTGATTTATGACTGTACAACTAACAAAATATCAACTTATTTTCAGCCATGAAACTGAATAACATTATATTTTCATTTGAAACATTAAAATAAAAAGTTTCGTGTTAAAGAATGACACAAAGAACTACTAAGGCCCGAAATTCATTGAACAGATGTTTTGTACTAGCTTGAGACTCCTTATCAACTCAGATCCACGTCCTCACTGGAAATAGAAATACTGTGATATGTAGTACATATGTTGACAGACATATGTGGTGTGTAACACCAATCGGTAGTGAAGAACCTGGCAGCAGAAGGCTAAGAAAATCGAATTGAAGGGAACAGTAGGGCGAATAGAAGGGAATTGCGACTTGGAAGAATCATACAGAATGTGAAGGACAATTGATGAAAATTTGCAAATGAGGTGTTCAATGTGTGGTTTACATATTTTACTAAGATATTCTGTAAATTTCCAGTAAACAGTAGATTGGTCGTCCTCAATTCACATCTCGTTCATTACAATATGGTCTCTTAGACCATTGACAACATTCATCAATTTACTTCCCTAGCTTTGATCACCTTGTAATATTGTACAACCATAAGTCATTATCTTTGGTGTACAACTGTCCTTCACTTAGTTTGTCTCAATTCCACTAGTCACTAATGAGGATCAGTAGATGAGATTGTGAAGATTGTTTTAAATGAATCATGTTTTTTTTGCGTTAACTGTTAAGCACATGAGTATGTCGTTTAGTTACATGTAACGTCTCATGTTTTGATGATCAATGATCCTATCATATGAAATCCGTTGGTTATCTGCTTATGATTCATGACCTCAATAACATCCAACAATCTTCACAAACCTCTACAAAATATCACAAATTGATTGTAGTTGGACACATCCGTCATCAAACGCTAGTCCAGTGGTTTAAAGTTAATCCCTTGCTGTGGAACATGAAGTTATTGGCTATGACTCCTGATGGAGCTGTGGGTGCGCACAAGGAGAAAGTCCCATATTCGGAGGGGTCGGTTTTCCAGTACTCACTGGATTTCAATGATTGTCTAACATAAGTCGATTCGCCATCTCCTTAACATGAAACATAGTTCGATGTGGTTATTGGTATAAGCTGCAGAGGAATGGCCTGTTGAGACTAAATATTTGTTCGTGGGTGTTTAATGATGTTGGTTAGCAAAGATAGTTTAAAACGTCTTACATTAATGCCTAATTTATTTGAGATGCATAAAATAAATATAATATAATAATCCACTTATCAAGCGCCTGTAATTCGTACTCGTCTTTGGGACATACGTTTAGTGTAAGATGAAGTAATACTACTTGGTTACACAGATCGACGTAGATGAAGTGGTGTTCTAGTTGGCTAACAACAAGTACCTTAACAACTAATCCGCTGCCCAACGTTAATACTTAGACTTACTTTAAGTACGCAAGCTATCTATCCGATAACTATATGGTAAACGTACATGGAGTAGGATTAGTAGAGTAATTTTTGAGTGTTTTAATGTTAATAGAAGAGAAACACAACGAAGTAGTCCATGTATAAAAATGTAGGTAGGTTACTCGACGTAAAGTATTTATTGATAAATTGACAAGTTATTCTCCAGTTTTGCAATCAGTTGCACCTTTCTGTTCCCTCATTACTACCACACTACCTTACACCAATCTCTTCGTTATTGTTCTCTTTTTTTGCGCTCCTTAGCTTTTTTTCCTATCTCCCTTCGAATTCTCATTGTTTTGTGTGGCGCATATATATTGGCGCTCTCTTGTACCAATATTCAGGTGTTCAAATAAATAAATAAATAAATAAATAAAATTTGCAATCAGATTATTTTTCTATTAAATACATTCTGTTTAACCAGGCTGTTATAAGAATAAAATATCATTCAATAATCGAGTAAATAATATTGTAATGATCTAAAACGAATTATTAATTAGAAATCTAAATGGTTAGATACACCGAACGAATCACACTTGATGTCGAAGCCCTAGAAGAGCTTGAAACTTACAATTACCTGGACAGCATCGCCGATGAACGACGAAGATCTGATGCAGATGTGAAGGGAAGGGCCTCTTTCCTACATGGAACTCAAAACAACTGTCAACCAATATCGTGGTGAGAATATTTAATGCGAAAGTAAAGACAGTTCTATCATACCGAGCTGAAACTTGGAGAACTACTACAAACATCATCAAGAATTTACAAGTATTTATAAACAGTTGTCTACGTAAGATATTCAATATCCATTGACCGGCTACCATGGGAGAGAACAAACCAACTTCGATTTGAAAAGGAAATTAAGTAAGACATTGGAAGTGGATAAGACACACATTGAGGAAATCATCAAACTGCATTTCAAGGCAAGCGCTAACTTAGAATCCCGAAGGGGGATGGAAAAAAGGAAGGCCAAAGAACACACTGCGTCGAGAATTGGATGCAGATATGAAAAGGATGAATTGCAACTGGAAATAAGTGGAAAGAATTGGGGAGGACAGGGTTGGATGGAGGTTTCTGGTGAGTGGCCTATGCTCCCCGACGAGGGGCAACAGGCGAAAATAATTAAGTAACGTGTATTTGTGGTAGACTTTGCAATTATTAAAGCACTTTAGCTTTAAAGGAAATATCCACATAACTGATAGTGTATTAGTGATATATGTTAAAGTTATATATTAACTATTACTTAGATATGAGACCTTACTTTAATGTTTAGATGAAATTTCAATTTGATGGACGATATTCGGATCATATATCTTTTGTTAACGTAAAGTATTATATTGTTGACTTGTAATTAGTAGTAGAATATGTATTTTTCCAAACAATAAACCAGGAGATTATTTGTAAATACTTGCTCAATTTATACCAGTAATAAAGCAGAGTCGTTTACTTGTGAGCGGAAAATTTTTTAGTTTGTACTTAAACGTACAGTGTTAACTTTTAAAACACCAGTTTCATACCACACCAACTTCACTTTTATCTTCAAAAGAAAAGTTTTGAACATTTCAGTTAAGTCAGTGAGTCTTTTACATGAAATAAATTTAATGTTAGTTGGAGAAACAATTTTTCTCTCATTATATTATTTATTCAAGCCTATTCGGCTATTTTTAGTCATGGAATATTCATTCACCACATACAAATGGCGCAAGTTTATTAAAATGGTTGTTATTGTTCAGAATCATCTACTTTCAAATTTTAGTACGTCGGTTAGTTTCAAAACTTTTTGATATTTGAACTATTTAATAAAAGAAGTGTTAGCACCAGACATTATCTCTCCATTATGAGTAATCACTGCAAATATAGGTATGTCACAAAAAGATAGATGGTCTAAAGTAAACTAACAAGTGTAATCCGAATCCACACCTACGCTAATACTACTTTTAGCCGAAAAATGCAATTACAAATAAAGTGAGTTATAAGTATAATTATTATTTTGTTAGTAAAACCTCATGTGGAAATGGGTTTATTTATTTGTTGTGATCAGATCAGTTAACCATTATCTGAATGGATGTGAACATTCCACCACTATGAAATTTCACATAGAAAAACTCACATTTTGCATCTGTTGCATCATGCATGGATTTCACACTTTGTTATTAAAAAACTTAAACTTACTTTTGCATTGTTCTTTTTAAAAGAAAAAAACTTTTGGTTAAGAGTTAATTGTTTAATCTTATGTGTAGTATTATTCAAATATTGAGCTATTGTCAATGAGAGGATTTGATAGTTCGTTTTATTTCGACGTTCATTTGAGAAATCTTTCCACTTAGATGTGATAAAGAATATCATTCATTATGTAGGTTTAGACAGAACGAACAATCAGAAATTGTGTTTCACCATGAACATATTCTGTCTGTCCATCAACTAATAATACACAAGTATTTCACGTACATTTATAAACAGAATATTAAGTTATAATAAGCAGTAAATAATTCACGTGGTCAGAAGAACATTTTTATTTCTAAAGCCAAATATCATATTTATTCATTTTAGGACTCAAAATGTTGATCAATGTAGTGAACTTATTGTTTGTGTTGTGAAATAACCATTTGAATATTAAATGAACTATCTGAAGGTTGAGCTGATAATGTCGTTCAGAAGAACGACGAAAGCTCCACGACCAAACCATCCAGTTCAGAAAACAAAACTCCATCAAAATCATCCATTTGAGCTACACATCTTCTCCACCATATCAGAACTATCTGTTACTTTGGAGAATTCGAAATATATTTAATTAAAATCTCGATCGAATATTTGTTTGATGCTCATGCTTTACAGTTGTGCTAGAGTTGCTGAAATGAGAAGTTCTGAAAACGTCATGGAACGTAATGTGTCCTTAAATATTATTAGTTATTACATCTGGATGGAACGACCAGGAAGAAATTTTCTCTTTTATGACTTATAGTAAACAAAGAAGACCAATTTACTGCTAAACGCATAACTACACTGGCTTAATAAAATATTTAAATCATACATTAAGTACTTCATTTGCACATCTTCCATCAGTTGTCCTCTACCTGCTTCATGACTCCTTCAATTTTGCTTTTATTATAGTTTCTCTCTGTTTTTCTTTTTGTTCTCTTCAGTTCGAACTTCTCAAACTCTTGCTGCCAGACATTCGATCTCTGACTGGTATTACATACACTTATATCTGTCGACATAAGTAGTATACACCACGCTCGTCCCCCCTCTTTAAATGACCGCTCTTGCAGTTGTTCTGCTCGCCATGCCACCTTCTTCTTTGCTACAGTCTGTGCCACTCTCCCTGCCAAAATACTGACCCCTGACCTCCGTAGCAATGGTGACCTGCCGGCCATCTACACACGATGTCCGCCCAGCGACCGGGATGCGGACAGCGACTGCTGTGCCTAACGCCGCTCCGACAGGATACTCTATTCGACGTCTCCTTCCTTCGCCGGGTGAGCCAACTAACTGCTCCTCTTCCGGCCCTTCAACGACGTCCGCAGAACTGTACCTTATCCGCCTCCGTTCGACAGCGATACTAGATGTCAGTCACAACTCTGATAATCAATAACATCAGATTTAATACCAATGGAAACAATAGATCTTTCAAGATTTCAGACACCATTCTACGATTTCTTGGACGTAATTCGATCAGCGTTAAGGAGTAGACAAACATGGTCTTGGTAATTCTTAGGGGTTGGTCTATGTGTTTTGGATCTACAGCTGTCAAAAGTATGAGCAAAAATAAACTATTGATTGATGGGAGAATGGTTAGTTACACCAAGTCATATTCGCGGTTATCAGAAGAAATTAATGAGTTAAATATTCATCTTTCTGAAATATGGTTCAGTATCAAATGAAATCTGAAATTTCAATGAGACTATATTTGTTTATATAACCGATGAAAATGTTAAACATTCTTACCTTTGCCGTTCTTATTTCGGGAAGGTGAACAGTTTCCATCAGAGAGTGTTTCAATAAACGACTGAAACAACGACCAACCACCTGATTCATTCCATCCACTTATTAATGGATAATCTTCCGGTCTAAATATATTGCCAACGTCTTGTAATCCACATGGTCTAGATCTGTCTATCCAATGAAGACAGTTCTTGAAAACAAACGGTGGAAAAGGAGTTGAAAAGTTTATATGAATTTAAAATCGAAAAAATATTACAATTCACTATATTAAATACTGAATAAAAGTTTACATGAAACTCAGTTGTAGGGTAAATCAGTGGTCATAGCGTTTAGCTTTCTGTAAGTTACAGGATTGAAATTCAGTCCATGATCTTCAGTGAAGGAGCTAAGGTGGTTCAATTTCTAATGTCATTCATAAGAAGGAACTGTAGTGTCGGTTATTATGTTAAGCCCATAACCTTATTTTAGCTTTCGGACAAACCAATCTATTCATTCTACTTGAGTCACATTCTGACCTTGTTATTTATTTACTTATCAGTCTTGACTGATTTTATATGAGCGCGTAGGTGTGTATACAATTCTTATCCCATTACTCATCACATGTCTGTAACTTTTGTGTAACTATAAACGTTGATTAACACTTGATTAAATGGGAGTTGGCTTACCACCAGCCACCTCCACTCTGCGTCGTTTCTCTTCTCTCTATTCCATTTGCTTTATATACAAAATATATATATTCACAAGTCCATTCTCGTTATCTGACTTTTTTGATTCCGTTATTGACTAACGCGATTTAAGTCGATGATTATATACGAGGATAGGCAATAACAATCATCCATACGATCTTCTTGGAGTCAGATCCACGGGCCACTAAAGTGGAGAGCCCTTCGATGAACATCGTTCGATCAAAATGACGATTAAATAACGGGCCTCCATAGAACATTCCTCTATTGCTGGTAAATGAGTTGTTAAATGAACTGGTTTAACCGTCTCTGATTTTTTTTACTCAATCTGGAATTCGTGATTAAATTTCAAAACCTTACTTACATAAGGCCGATTTCCTGTTAGCATTGAATTCGAAACAAAATATATCTTAGTTTTGCTATATTTAGTACCGTAAGAATGACAAAATTAGTACTGTTCTCAAACTGATATAAATTTAGAAAGTGATTAATATTAAGGAGCAGCACTGTATATTTGTTATAGGAATCCACTAACTGTTCAGACACAACTCGAAGTTACAATTCCACTTTAAAATGAATTCTCCACATTACTTTGTTTTATATATCCAGTTTTGCGGTAAAAAAAGTTATTAAATTGATGGTTACAAAGTAAATGACACAGTCTTTCATGTTTACCAGCTCTATAGATGAAAATTGTAAAAGAAATACTCTTCGGACTTTTCATTCAAGAATTTAGTATTCACTAATTTTAGATATCAGTTAGTCCGATCCGAGACTTACTCGGCACTTGCCAATATGTGTACCTGTAATCTTAAGGGAAATGAGGTTGTCTGTCGAATTTGAACTCGCGTTTAAAGACTGAGATATTATCAGTGGTCTGTTCGGCCTTTCACCGACCTCAAGAAGGATTGAGATGTTAGCAACTGATTATTTGCTGAGTAGTCACCAGTGTCAGCTCTGAGTCACATAGACTAGTGATCTCATTAAGGACTTATTGATAGAATTTGGCTAGAAACAAATGACTGAGAAAAAACATGAGACTGATCAGGACTCATTGATTAATCAATTATAGATATTCAGCAACTGTACAGAGTACGTTAATTCAGTCATAAAAATAATGATATCATTATCGTCCTGGCTCATGAGTTCAAGATGTTCTGTTAGGCAGAAAACTATTGTTCTTCGGATGAATGCACTCTTTTTTATAACGATTTTGCTAAACAAATGTTTATCAAATCATTTTCACAAATAAAATAAAGCCAACAGTTGTCAAATGGTAATTCTGATCAAATCAGTATTGTAATAATACATCCTTTCATGAATGTGTTAGTGTGTGAATGTGAGCCTGTGTGTGTATGTATTCATGCGATTGTAGTGAGATTAATAGAGGACCTGTTCAAAGACACAAGAATAATGTTAAAAGTAGAATATCATATTACTTGAAATGCTGTTGTTTAATGAACCTATAGAAGTACAAAGTTTCTTTTTGAATACAGACAAGAAGCGATAATAGTAAGAGTGCGTTTTAATGATTGATAATGTAATGAATTTATTACATTTAATTGATTTGTTAAATCAATTAATTTGTAATTATTTATAATTCTATGATCATGTGTTCTATTTTTTATGACGATTAGACATTTTGGCTGTGATTTATTACACATACTATGCAGAATATAATCGAAGAGAAAAAAACGCTGGTAGAATGTGATAAATATACTTTGGTAATCACCACATAAAAAATGGCATTAGCTGGAAAATTAAAACTTCCCAGAATTGAAGTGATTTAAGAACTGGATCCTGAGTCAATTTGATATCTTAACAAGACATGGTTAGAATCATTATATCTCATATTGAATACGTTTGAGTGGACCTGTTAAGTCGAATTTCAGAAGTCAACCTCTATCATCTTAGTAAATGTTCAACAGGATTTGTCAGAAATCAGATCACCTTAAACAGGACCACGGGCATTCGCATATCGACGTGAACATACTTCCTGTCCACTGAGGGAAATGTCACAACTACCAAATAATTTTAAATGGATTTGTTTAACATAATCCATCGTAGTGAAAATATCACCTAGTTTTTTTTAAACATATTTGAAGCTTCGGTTAGAATAAAAGTATGCTATTGCTGCTTAAATAGTCATGAAGTATTTGAAAAAGGAATCAGATTCGAACATTGTATTTTTCAATTCAAATGTCAACATGGTATCCACCAAGCTACACAATCCAGGTAGCCACTAACTTGTGCAGTGGTGTGAATTTTATTTGCAAGGGTTTAGTTTTTCTATTTATTCAGCTGATTAGTTCCAAGTAGGACAAAACACACTGTTATGACCTTGAATCGCTCTTTTTTCCAAAACCCCCGTCGCCAATTGTTATGACCTTGAGTATGTCTGCTTTTTGCTATCACGCGACCTATCTACCAATCCGGATACGACTTATACGAATCTTCACACTAGGCCAACCAATGACGTTCAACCGGTGTGGGCAGTCTAGCGTCCTTATTGGTCCTATGTCCTACAAGCCCTTCCACTTGAGTCCAGAACACAATACCAGCTTCGAATCAGAGCAGATCGTTTACTTCAAACATACTCGGTTTATATATCAAACAGACAGACCACAACACACCATAAATCAGAAAATAACATGTGTACACAAAGAAGCCAAAAAGTGGCTGTGAACGAGGGGGACAGTAATTAATAGACTGAACATAGTTTGAGAACCGTAAATCGTACAATAATAAATTATAGATCAAAATAAAGCTTATAATAAGAGGGATATAAATTTACATAATCTAATTATTCAATAGTTTTACGATCAGAATATTTATAGAATATTAGTCCATTAATAGTCTTCGGGAGTTACCTGTAATTTAATCTTCGCTCGGATATAACACCTCCCCCCTTTTTTTTGAAGATTCCAAGTTTAGATTCGGATTAAAAAAAGAATTATGTGTACCTTTGAATTCTCCTCCTCCTCGAAATAATGTTGGGTCCTTATGGCTCCAAATTATAACTAATAGGACTTTATTTAAACCATATTTCTCGTATTTACTGGAGAATCCACTAAAAATGACTAGATGATGATGAACGACCTTTGATCTGAGTTCATTATTTTCAAATTCATTACGAATCTCGTTAGCAGATAATGAGTCATTAAGAAAGTCGTCTAACAAAATTAAATTAGATTTTTGACCATCATTCGACTCAGCTGATATATTTCCATCATTGTTATGAGAAGTTCCATCAAAATTATATGCATTATTCTGAAAATCAATGTCTGGTACATTGTCGTTAGAAATCGGATAAATTGACTCAATACAAAGCTCTGTCTTCCGGTGATTTTGAGTGACATCTGGTACAATTGGGTTCATCGTGTTGCTCCAGTTATTTTCTGAATACCAGTCACCATAGCTTTCTCGACTAATAGCACGTGGACCACAATTTTGTTCGGGCTGAAGTTTATTTCCAGAGCTAGACAGTACCAGTAGTGTTTCATTTAATTCTGGACTCTGGGCTTCATCTACAGGATCTGGCTCCTGATCATTTGGTATCGTCACAACTTCATGTGCATTTAGCACAATATTTTCTTGCTCTGAGCTGGACACGTTACCAATATTACGTTCTCCTTCTGGTATAAAGGGATTTGAATCCTGCACAGGATATGCTTCTGAAATGTCCATTACTGCACCATTATCTGCATGATAAATAGATTTCTTATTTTCTGCTTGATTGCAAAGTCTGCCCAAAACTGTTTCAAATAGCTGTTGTTGCAAGGCCAACATCTTCTGCTGGTGCTGTAATATTAACCGCAACTGTTCTAAAGAAATCGACATATTTTTTTACTGCCAATAATATTAGCTCCAAAAATCACCGGCAATTATACAGCTAATTTATTTCCAAAATCTGAGTCACCACTCGTATTTTTTTTCTCCAAAATCCCCGTCGCCAATTGTTATGACCTTGAATCGCTCTTTTTTCCAAAACCCCCGTCGCCAATTGTTATGACCTTGAGTATGTCTGCTTTTTGCTATCACGCGACCTATCTACCAATCCGGATACGACTTATACGAATCTTCACACTAGGCCAACCAATGACGTTCAACCGGTGTGGGCAGTCTAGCGTCCTTATTGGTCCTATGTCCTACAAGCCCTTCCACTTGAGTCCAGAACACAATACCAGCTTCGAATCAGAGCAGATCGTTTACTTCAAACATACTCGGTTTATATATCAAACAGACAGACCACAACACACCATAAATCAGAAAATAACATGTGTACACAAAGAAGCCAAAAAGTGGCTGTGAACGAGGGGGACAGTAATTAATAGACTGAACATAGTTTGAGAACCGTAAATCGTACAATAATAAATTATAGATCAAAATAAAGCTTATAATAAGAGGGATATAAATTTACATAATCTAATTATTCAATAGTTTTACGATCAGAATATTTATAGAATATTAGTCCATTAATAGTCTTCGGGAGTTACCTGTAATTTAATCTTCGCTCGGATATAACACACGCATCCTGGTTCCCATTGCTATCCATTGTTTAACTTTGAAACTATCATTTGTTTATCAGAACTATGTTATGAAGGTATTTCTGCAAAGTGAATTGATAAATAGTGGTGATATACCTGATTGATAACAGATCTTTTGTGATAGACTTTTTCATTTAGTTTTCGCGAGATGGATTTTTGGAGAACAGTTAATTTGTAAACTAGTAAGCCATAAGACAAAAATCATAAACTTCAAGAGAACCTTTACATGTGAATTACTCACAATTGACGTAAAGTAGCATAAATGTGAATCTCTTTTCTCAAGTTGTCACCCAGCATAAACAAAACGAGCTAAAATTTATCACATCTACGTTTAGTGGGCTGAAATAATAATACCGATAATAATGACGTGAGTAGATTTTGATCTAATAAAGAGTTTGTATTCTGTTAGCTCTAAAAATGAGTTACTTGATAGATATTAATCATAAGATTAGTTCAAAAATCATGTGAATTTTAGTTTTAGGAAGAAAGTAACCTACAAGATCATTTATGAATTGATTTCTTCTTCATTAATGACAAATTCACTGTCAGTATTTTGATGAATCAACTTATAATAGTACGGTTTATTTAAACTTGAAATATACCGCACCCTGAACTTCACTGCTAACTACCATCCATCTATACTTATAATACCTTTATTTGGCTACAAGCTTTGAGTTTCTATTGTATCACGGAAATCATAACTGACTGCAATATTTCATGATTCTTTTAATATGATTAATTTGAAATGCACAGGATTGTTTCAAGCTAATTTCTACTACGTCGAAAAATAACTATTGTTTTTACTTTTTCAAAACCCTCTATAGTTCGCCGACGAAATATGCTTGAATGGATATCAAATCACTTGTCTGAAGATGAGAGATCTGAAGTTCCAGGTTCAGTTGCTAATGCTCCCTGACTTTTATTGGTTGTTTAGCTAAAATCAGTTGATGTTGTATATTATCTTCAAATAACTAACCATATCATATAAACCATGAAACTGGTTGAGGTGATTTTGAATCTGATAGCAAACATCAGTCCCCTAAGACTGCAGGTTTACCTTACTAATGAGTATCTATTAACACGAAATCTTCGTCTAGGATTTTATGCTAAATATCACTCATCGAACTGGTAACTTTTTGAGTTTGTATATCACTGTTTGGACGTCAAAACACTAATTGATCAGTAATTAAAAAAAAATTAACTCTCGGATTTCAAGTGATAGAAATCAATATAAATATCAGTTTCTGGATGTAAGTATATCAGAGTGAAGAGTGATAAATACGTTGGATTCGAATCGTACTAACGATCGGACATTCACATTTCTTCACCTGAAATGAAGTCGGTGTTAAGACAGTTGGTTCGCTGTAATTACAGACTGTATGTGAATGCATGATGAAAGACGTACATTTTTCATACAGTTAAGACGTCAATAAATTTTAGTTCATTCTTATGAGTATTTGTACACGGAACATTAGATCACTGTCTGTTTGTTGAAAAACATGGTTGCTTTAAAATAATACGACTCAATTAATTACGAGATACTGGCTCTAATATATATTCAACTACAGTTACTTAATCTAAAGAAAAACGACTAACGGACTATTATATTGTGATCCTTTTATTTCCGTTGACTATTTGATTCAACCTAAAATTTATTACGAGGTATATATATATGCTATACTAATTATATGTGAAAGGGATTTGAATGGTAAATGTATTTAATGCAAAATAAACATTGATTCCTGCATTGTTTCAAGCAATAGTACGAAAAAAATCCTCCTTGTTTTTCGGTTGTGTATAGATATATTTGAATATAAAATTGATATGTTGGTAATGCCATTAACCTTATCTGAATTACAATGGTTATTTTTATTAAAAAAAACAACTCGCGAAGAATACTTTCCTTCTATGAATTATTTCTTAGGAAGCTGACTATCTATTCTTCATTTTTCCAAATAATTTTTGCATCATATTTGGTTTCCCTGATAAATGAATCCCAAATACTCTTAAGTTTGGTTAAAAAGTAGTTATTTTCACATTTCACATTTCACATCATTGGTTGATCTTGGTTAAGCTATCACTGGGAACCAAGAAGCACTGAATAGCTGTTTGTCACAGAAAAGAACTTTACTAGGGATTGGGATCACGGTCTTAAGGCCTCACAGCAAGCGTTTAGCCTTTGTATAAAAGTGTCGTATACCAATTTTTTGCACATCTGACTAATGAATTCTAAATATTACACAACCATCTTCTAGTGCTATTAGTAGGTAACTGCTTCTCACTCAACATGGTTAAACTTCAGTAATCGTGGTTCCTCCCAGAACTCTATAAATCACCTCACTAAAATAGCCACTAATGTGCTTATGATTATAATAAGTATAGTGTTTGTGGAGAAATATAGTACTTCATATTTATTTCACCGATTTTGTGATTGGTATCCATACATCAGTAGTCCTATAAATATGTTCAACATTGTATAGTTACGGTGACGAATACAATGTCTCACTTCTTATAAGAGTCAATCTTTTTTAAATAATACATTACCAATAAACGTTCTTTTGAAAATTAACAACAGTGCTTACCTGTTCCATGATGCATACTTTCGATAAGTATTTATCAATTAGAATATTCGGTAATGAGCGTATAATATTAAAGTTGACAGATTTCATAGAACTGACTACAGTATAATTTGTTTGTTCAACTTTCTCATACACTTCATTTAGATGTAACTGTTTATAAATAGATGAATCAATTGTATAACGTAGTTTATTCACTCCAAGACCTACACTGTAATTTACCCATCTGAATGTAATGAAAATAAATGAAATTACTTAAATTACACCGTATTTAGTTCACTGATTAATTAGAGTTGAAAATTTGTGCAGATGTTTTCAGCTAAAATCAGTCCATTATGAAAAGTATTTTCGAAATTAACATGATACAAGGATTGATGAGCAGGTGTTTAATTCAAATGAAAACCTCCGAATATCTTACATTTTCTAAACAGAATATATATATATATATATATATATATATATATATATATATATATATATATATTTGTAGTCAGAACTTTTCAAATTCATCTACTTTACTGTACTCTATTTGATGTAGTTTGGTAGAGTTCAATTTTATTTGTAAGTAATGCTACTTCAAGACATCCTTAAAATTATAGTAAAACGTCGTGATTAGTGGAGCTCAGATATTTAGTGAGTGAAACACTTATCACTAATATCACTGAATAAAGATTGCATTGTAATAAAAACTAACTACAATTTAAGATGTATTATTGGAACCTGACTTGGTGATTTTCAATGGCTAATCGTTCGCCGTGAGATCTGCAGTTGGCGTGTTCTATATCTGTTGGGGTCGTGGGTGCTTACTGCTGAGGAATTTCATATTAAGACTGAAATGTCCGATGTTCAGCGGTTCTCCGTGATGCCCCAAATGAAAACAATCTGCTCCGAAAGCTATTGACATTTTCAGTGTAAATTAGTAGTTCATTCTAATAGAGTTATTTATTAATTTGTTAATATTCAAATCTCAAGTATCTACGGTTGAAACATATAATTCTCACTGGTATACCTAAAATGTCTGTTTTTAACATGTTCTTGTTAACAATTTTTTTAAAACTCATTCTAATAATTGAGTACCAATAAACATAAAATGATTTTGTAAAATTTGTTGATCATAGAGTTAAAGGATACTTTAAAAAATGGATCATCGATACTTCATACTGTGGGGTATGCTAATTATGTTGACAGACATAAGTAGTATGTAACACCAATCAAAAGAGAAATGCATGTTAGCAGAAGGCTATGAAGGTCGAATTGAAGTAAACGGAAACGGAAATAGAAGAGAATTGTAACTTGTAAGAATTCGAAGGACAAATGATATAGTTTTGTAAATGAAGAATTCAATGTATCCTTCTCATAGTTCAATAGCAATAAAACATGTATCCGAATATGTTGTTAATATGAATTAAAGAACGCAGAGTTTGTTCACTTGCATATGCCATGATCTATCAAGATATCTTAAGTTTCGAAATGATTTAATAACTGATAAATCATCTAGTATGATCATCGACGTAATAAATCAATTGATCGACAGAATCTAATCGAGACAAGCACTACACACTGGTCGCCAACTAAGTGATTAGTCAATTGTAAATATCTCTGTGCTGCAAGAGGTCAGTCGCACCTTAAATGGTTCACTGTTAACGAATGAGACTGTGATAACGATTTATGCCACACCAAAAGTCACGTAAGAAAGTTAAATTCATATAAGTCTACACGTATGCTTTTTTATTGAATTGTGATCAACGTGGAAATTGTATTCAGGAAGTTTCTGCCAATTACTTCTAGCTGTTTGAAAATCATTTGCTAAAGTGAATGAAATTTCTAGTAAACATGATTTCACATAAGTTTTATTTTTCAAACATTCGTAAAGGATCTCACTTGGTGAAAATAGTTTGATTTGTGCAATCACCTTTTTCGATGTTCAATCGAACACGAACATATAATGTGCTGTCTGAGACACTGATATTTAATAAAATCAGTTTATTCGCACTGATTTCATCTGCAATAAGAGTAAATTAAAGCACATTAATTATAAATCCTGTTAATAATTACGATAGATTTCATTGGCTTCTTGATTATGTGCTACAAGTTATTAATAGTTATATCTATACACAGTTCACTTGTGAAAACAAAAATTGAGTACGAAATCGGACCAAGTTTACGTTCACTATTTTGTACAAACTTAAAAGATGCTGCTATGAGAAGACGAAGTTTATCAGAATTATGTGATATATTTGCGCAATACATTTCGAAAAATTAGATCACACACCTGTCATTATTGAAAAGACAGCGTCTATGTTTCACCAAAAACCCAAACAGCATGTAGGCGATTCTGTCTATCAATTTATATGTATGTGCGGAAATACGTACATAGAGAGGAGCAATCGTGATCTTCAATTAAGGGTAGCGGAACAAATACCCAAATGGCTGCAAAAACAAATCAATTCCAATGGTCAAATAAGATCACAGGATAGATAGACATTTCCCTCCATTGAAAAATATTTGGTTGAGACTGGTCTTAAGGTTGATATCAAATCAGCCTTTGTAGTTTTGTACAAAAGTCTTCAAGGATGTACACTAAGTTTTATTGAGGCTTTGGTTATACGGAAACTGAAACCTCCTTTATATGTTCAAAACAATTTGTTTTTACCTTAACCTACCACGGTAATAGTGATTTATTATCTAGAGTGGTTATCACATTGTTTTTGCGTACTTTATTAATTAAAAAATACAAAAATGGCTGTGCATTTAATGATATTCAGTTTTCTTTGTTACGGTTTACGTTTAACCTGTTTAGTTGACGTTTTATTTTTCACATGAAAATGTCTTAATAAGTATATGTGTGATTGAGATCATGAACCGATTGATGTTAGATCACCATTGGAAACCTGGAAGCACTGGGCGGCTGTTTCGTTATATTGTGGGACTCCTCAGCAGTGCTCATCCACGATCCCGCTCTCAACTTACGAACTCAGAGCCTTCAGTCTCGCGCGCGAAAGCTTAATCTACTGGACCATCGAGGCGGGATCCAATGGTGTTAATGTCTAACCTCGACCGATCTACGAAGTTGCGCAACCATCTTCCATTTTACTGAGGTAGACACTGTTGGGATATTCAGAAAAATATCCCAAAAACAATTATCCGGTTAAGTCTAATGCTACCCTTGAACGTTAAATGGTGTCATTTTCCTATTGGTCGTTTCCCTACCAATCAATATTTATTTCGCGTGTCATTTCCCCATTGGTCAATATTATTTCACGTGTTATCTTTCTGTTGGCCAATATTTATAGTAATCCTAACTGTATAAATATGCATTTGTTTGTAAATCATTATTCGGCTCCTGACCCCATAAACAATTTTTCATCTACGGTTCGTGTTCTGATATATTGGAGATTGGGAACAGTATTGGGGTCGAACTGGGATATCTGAAGCTGGTCAATCGGTAGAAGTTAGAGTAGCCACCTCGCGATACACAATAATTTGGCGACGGAGATTTAGCAAAGAAGTTGGTGATTAACTATGGATCCAGCAAAATTAGAAAAATTGTTCGAACAGCAGTTGAAGCTGATGGAGATGATTGCTCAGACGCACATATTTTCTCGAGTTCCAACTACACCGACAATTCCTGATTCAGTTGATGGTATTACCAGTGGTATTTCAGAATTTCTTTATGATCCTGATGCCAACATTACATTTGATACCTGGTTCAGACGTTATGAAGACCTTTTCAAAGTTCACCTTGCTGATTGAGATGATTCGTGGAAGGTGCGTCTCCTTCTTCGTAAACTTGGTCCATCAGATCTGGATAAGTATTGCAACTTTATTCTACCGCAGAACCCACGCGACCGTTCATTCGACGCCACTATTCAGTCCCTTAGCCAACTTTTTGGTGATCATCACTCACTCTTCAGTACTCGATATCGCTGCTTAAAACTGATCATGAATGAGTCCGATGACTTCCTGACCCACGTCGGCGTTGTTAACCGTGAGTGCGAACTGTTCAAGCTCAGATCCCTCATTGAAGACCAATTCAAGTCCCTAATACTCATATGCAGTCTTCAGTCACCCTAATTCTCCGACATCAGAACTCGTTTGCTCAACCGCCTTGAACAAGATCCAACACTGACACTCAATGAGATCATAGACGAGTACCAGCGCATCATCAATCTGCAGCGTGACACTACTTTGGTTCAATCTGGTGGCCAGGGTGGTTCCGAAGTTCATGCTGTTCAGCACCAAAAAAATCTTCGAGATCGACGACCTCGAGTCTTTCGAACGCCAGCGCTGTTTCTGTCTCTAATCACTCTAAACCGGCTCAGAAGAAGCCTCCCTCTCCATGTTGGCACTGTGGAGCCTGGCATTATGTGAAGTTTTGTCCATTCAAACAGCATGTGTGCGATCGTTGTCGGAAAGTTGGTCACAAAAGCGGCTTTTGCAAATCCAACCGATCCAATAACCGTCGAAATGCACCGACGCAGCGTCGTTTTCACAAAAAGCCGATTACCTCATGAAGGAGTTTAGCAGCAGTCTTCCATACTCATGCCGCGACTCAACGCAAATTTCTGACCCTCTCAATCAATGGTCAGCCAGTTCGTTTGCAGTTGGACACTGCATCAGATATCACCATTCTGTCGAAAAAGACTTGGCGAACCTTGGGTCAACCTCCCATCAAACCATCCTCTCAGACAGCCGTCAGTGCCTGTGGGGGTCATCTCCGCCTTCATGGTGAACTCTGCTGCTGCATTTCATTCGGAGGTACAACCTTCGATGGGACATGCTATATCACCAATTCCCCGCTCAATCTATTAGGTTTAGATTGATTCGAAGAACTTGGTCTCGCTGATCTTCCTATTAACGCTATCTGCAATCAAGTCCAAACTACTGCATCGACACAACAGCATGCTGAAGACCTTCGAAAACGATTTACTGAACTATTTCAGCCTGGTCTCGGACTTTGTACCACAACTGAAGCTGCTACTGTATTAGCGAATGCCATTCGAGCAATGCCTGTTACCGCTGAAGATGAAGAAGACAAGCAGATTGTCGACTTCGTCAAAAGATGCTCGCATTGTCAAAGAGCTGCGAAAAATCCTCCTAAGTTGCCTCCAGTACCCTGGCCAAAGTCAGAAAAACCCTGGTCGCGAGTGCATATTGAATTCATCGGACCCCTAGATGGTACCACATATCTGATACTGGTTGACTCCTACTCCAAATGGCCGGAGATATTGCCAATTGCGCCATCCTTTACAACTCGAACCATCAAACTCCTTAATCGGATCTTCGCTCAGCATCGTCTTCCAGAAACAATAGTAACAGACAATGGTTCACAATTCACATCTAGCCAATTCCGAGAATTTTGCTTGCAAAATTCGATCAACCATGTCCGTTCTCCGCCATATCACCCGCAATCTAATGGTCAAGCTGAAAGGTTCGTTGATACATTTAAACGATCCATGCTTAAGTCACGAGGGGAGGGGACCACAGAAGATATCATAGAACGATTCCTAGTTGCGTACCGGACGACCCCGCATGACTTATTGCCAAACTCCAAATCCCCTGCTGAGATGCTTATGGGGCGAAAGCTACGGACAGTTCATTGTGCGATGAAACCTCAGCAAGTGGCGCAACAAAACCCGCAGATGAAGAATACTCGAATTCCCTACAAAGTTGGTACAAAAGTGTATGCGCGAGATTATAGACACGGATGTGATAAATGGGTAGAGGGTGAAATCACAAAGAAACATGGGGACGTCATGTATGATGTCAAAGTGAACCAAGAAATCAGGACCAGGCACCACAATCAAGTCAGGCCAAGGGAAGCGAAGGAGAAAGAAGCAAGTACAAAAAGCGTTCCACTCGACCTGCTGTTGGACACGTTTCAACTTCCGCCAATACCTCCAACAGAGACGACCAAGTCATCTACTGAAGTAGAACATCCTTCTGGTTCTGTGTGGTTGCCTCGGAGGTCGGATCGCAAAAGAAGACACCCAAAGAAACTTCAAGTAAATCCTCGATTACGTCGCTATTAACTTTTCCAAGGGGAGGTGTTGGGATATTCAGAAAAATATCCCAAAAACAATTATCCGGTTAAGTCTAATGCTACCCTTGAACGTTAAATGGTGTCATTTTCCTATTGGTCGTTTCCCTACCAATCAATATTTATTTCGCGTGTCATTTCCCCATTGGTCAATATTATTTCACGTGTTATCTTTCTGTTGGCCAATATTTATAGTAATCCTAACTGTATAAATATGCATTTGTTTGTAAATCATTATTCGGCTCCTGACCCCATAAACAATTTTTCATCTACGGTTCGTGTTCTGATATATTGGAGATTGGGAACAGTATTGGGGTCGAACTGGGATATCTGAAGCTGGTCAATCGGTAGAAGTTAGAGTAGCCACCTCGTGATACACAATAGACACCTGTTTCTACCCGACACGGATTAACTCCATTGGTCACGGCTTCTCACCAGAACTCCGAGAATTTTCTCACGAAGCTAGTCACTAGTGAGCACATGGTAATTATCAGTATAAAGATTGTGGAGAGTGTTAAGTTTTGATTGAGATCATGAACCGACTGGTGTTATGCGTGATTAGATTGTTCGAAATGTATTGAGCAAATGTACCACATAATTCTGATAACCTTTGTCTTCAAATTGCATTATCAAAGGGACCGATTGTTTTAAATATTCAGAGTTGTTTAATAACTAACTTCAGACACCGAAAATGTTTTTTGCATTTTAAATCGACTTAATAAATCTTTAGCTATAACGATGAACAGTTCATTTTCAAGCTTTCAATTCTAGTAATGTATAGTAATCACGTGCATAACCACCATGAGTGTGTTGTGAGAAACTTAATTTGCAACTGCAGCTCAAGCGGTTTATTTCAGAAAACAGCAAGTTTCTATATATATTCGTATTCTAGGTATGTAGTTCATTTTTCCCCATCAGTATCTACAATGAAAACTATTTCATCGAAGCTTTCTGTACTAAATTCTTGTTAGTTGGTTAGTCACTATTACAAACGTAGGTTGGATCCCAGTCAGTACTCGTAACCAAGATCAGATTCGGATGATTCATGACATAAAAATGTTAAAAAGTATCAATATTTCTTATATATAGGGAACGGAATGGAAAACATGAACAGTTACTTTTTAAGTAGTCGCATAGTACGGATATTTCGATGTTTTCGAAAAGACCCATGATTATATCTTTGTCTTCTGTAAGATTTGTACATAATTTACTATTCTCCATGACTGTTTGTGGCTAAAAGTATAATCGCAAAATAAAATTCATGCTATTTGTGAGTTATTTTAATTATTTGATCGTATGTACGACTAAACACTGAATAATGAGGTTATTTTTTATTATTTAAATTTTCCGGCTGAAATGAGCTTGAACGGTTGTAGTCATAATAAAACCAAATAGTTCAAAGACAAGGTATAAAATAATACGTTTACTGTGTTTTATCTGTCAAGTATATTGATGTTAAAGATTAGAAGCATAATTTTTTATGTAGTCTAATTGATATGGATAACCAACAGTATATGGTTTCTGTATATATGGCTGTTCAAGCTGTAACCGGTATTGCACTAGTGAATTAAATTTGATGTTTGTGGTGCCACAAAACAAATGTGTTTCATCATGATGATATAGTACCCTTAAGTTACGGGTAAGTTCGTCTAACTTGTTGGATGGAAGAGCTACATTTTATATGGACTGAAATTTAGTTCTGGCGCCGGTCGTTAAAGCTACTGTGTTTGGGTGTATGACACACAGTTTCTGGGTTGTATCACATATTTAAGCGATTTTTTGAATTTTTGTGAGATCCTAAATCAACTGGGATGTAACTACTACCTATTATTTACTGGCCATTCGGCTGAGGTTATCTTTTAATCAAAAGTAGCTCTAGAGTGTATATAATCTCTACAAATCACGTTTGTAAATATCAACATACGTCATATGCATTTGGTTCCCCTTTGTACTAATATTTATGTGTTCAAATATATAAATAACATACGTCAAACGAATAACTGGGTTTGAAAGCAAATCGCTCGATTTCAACAAGTATAGTCTAATACATCTGATAATGTCTTTCAGTATTATTTTATCAAAGGTCGCATTCGTAGTAACAGTCATTTCTGTTATGCTGAACTGTCCTTTGATAATTATAAGATTTCACAGATTGAAATCATGAGTCAGTTGAAGCTAGACCACCATTGAAAACCTGGAAGCACTGGACGGCCGTTTCGTCCTAGTATGGGGCTCCTCAGCAGTGCGCACCCACGACCCCGCGCCACCCGGGGCTCGAACCCGGGACCTACTGGCTTCGCGCGCGAGCACTTAACCATTAGACCACTGAGCCGGCATTCAACGGTGTTAATTATAAGATTCACTTGTCTATAGAGTCAAAATACTAATAACATCTTGTTTATTGGTGGGACATTTACCACTCCCGACATCAAACAAGAGAACAGGATAGACAGAGAATTATTTAAACGGTTAACCACTTAGGAACCTTTGAAGTATTGCAGTCATTGTATGGAAATGCACTTTGATTAGCAAAACACTGACATCATTACTTAAAAGAACCGAATAATCGCAGTAAAATTACGTTTTACTACTATAAGGTTTGTAGCTAAGTAAAATTAATTTTGTTTGGTGTTGAATTGACTTATATCAGTAAATTTTACAAACTCAGCAGAAGTATACAGACTTCTACCTAGAAAGTAGGTTTATTCACTTAGTGTGCCACAAAATCAAATAATTTCTTCATCTAGACTTGATTTCGGTAAGCAGATCATTACTTATGGTTAACAAGATTTAATCGAAATTGATCATCAAGCAAAAAGCGCAAATCATTCAAAGACAGTCGCATCACCGAAACACGAGTTCCAAACATTAACGACGCAAATTTATTATTATTAATGAGAAAAAGAGAAGACACCAATAACGACGGATTATGGCCGAAGCGTCGAATAGCCACAATTCCATATAGCCAGAATTTTAATTTTTCACTATTTTGAATATAAATTCTTTTTCTTCCTTATGTACGCATGCATTATCAAGCTTATATCGTATATTACAAAACTCGACATATTTTGTTTATCTTCACGTCTGTATATAATCTTTTAAAAATGATACCACATCCATTTCTATCCTTTATCATTATTTTGCTTGGCTTTACAGACATGCGCTCAGATATACATAACTAATGTTTGTATACATATTAGCTTTATCTTAATTTTGTATAAGCCGATATCTCCTAATAATCGTAATTATTCTGTTCAGTTTACCATACTTTGTGCAAACACAGACCTTTTTTCATATATCTTTAATTGTAAGGGGGGAGCTATTAAAGCAACACTCCTAAGATTAGTTTCAATCATGGTTTAATTTTGTAAAACCCCTTTAGTAACTTATTTAGCAGACAATGTTATTCGGACAGTAACAATTCGTCTATTTCGTTGTATTATTATAATCATTATCTTGTCTGCATAAACATGTACGCTTAATATTATATAACAGCCTACGAGTATATCTCTCTCTAGCTTGAATGTTGATCGCTGAAATATCGTTCGAAGAGTCATTCTCTTTACCATATATATATATATATATATATATATATATATATATATATATATATATATATATATATATATATATATATATATATATATATATATATATATATATATATATATATATATATGCTCGAATCCTTTTAAAAGCTTTTGCTTTGACTTGCTGCACCTTTATGCGATTTGATTATACATTCGCCTCTGTATACTCTCGCACACACGCTAGCCACTCTGTTCCAAATTCGCTCGATGTACTTGTAACTTTGTTATCTGTGCTATTCGCTAACAAACTGTAGTCGCCGCTTCTCATTGCCTTCTGAATTCAAACACCTTTGGGGACCTATATAATAACGGTTAACAAGGTGATCGATTAATGGAGCTAAGCCACTACAATCCATTAATTGTTACCATGTCAAATTATGTAAAAAAGCTGTCTTATCTTTAAATTCAATTTAAATCGTTGTTTCTTTTAAAAAAACACATTTTGGATAGAATATTTCAATACTAAAACAATTTTTGTAAACAAATCATATGTATTTATAGGTATCAATATCATGGTTGGACTTGATAGTTTCAAATAAATTGACGATTGGGTAAAAAGTTATTAATAAATGTATCAGGACTCAGTAGCTAAGTGGATAACGCGATGGCGTTTGAAGCGAACGGCACTGGGCCCGAGTCCTAGAGTGGACATCAACTCAGATGCAGGCATATCCAGCTGACGAGTCCCAAATGAGACAAAACGCGCGTCCTGGATTTCACTACTAACCACTTTGCATATAATGCTTGTAAATTAAGGCAATATGGAGGCAATACGTACAGTATGCACATATGTCAGTAAGAGACTGATCAATTTCAGTCCTAAACATCAATGGGAAGATTCAAACTAACAATACCAAGTAAATTTATTATTTGTTGTATCCTCATTGGGGTACATATATATAAATCGAGTTGGTGGTAAGCAACAGATCATTTAGGGTCAACCTGTATCAGCGAACGAGTTACTTACTATTAAAGACATATTTGTATTTGATAAAATTTACATGAATATGTATTTTTATAAAAGTTTTGATTGTATTGAGCTCGCTGGCTTGATGGGGCATTTTGATTCAGCATATGCTTAAAATTAAAACTAAATCTTTGAAAAGTAATGCACAACTACTAAAGCAGTACTAAAACTAATGGCTTTGAATAATGTTATTTTGTCTTTGAGAATATAGAGGGCTGAAGTAGATCGAAAGGTTTTTAAATAACGAAAAGCTATAGACTGAGTCATAGATTTTTCTTCCAAATACATATATGACCAACTAAAATTCATTTACGTAGAGTTACTGCCGGTCCCAAGTTGTGGTAAAGGAGGATTGTATGGCGGGTCGGTGACTCCATCCCGTAGAAAACAACTTAGGTAAAAAAGCTCTGACCATAAAAAAAAATTAAGCCATTCAAACTCTGCCCTGGGTATTAAAGGATATTCATTTAGACGAATTATGACTCCTCGTTATGAAAAACAAGATTCTTTGAAAACCACGAGATTGATGCCCCTTTTAACAATCAGAGCAAAAATAATCTAGATATATGGAATGCTCGCACAATATGGGAGATTGGGAAGACCAGTCAAATAGCTACGGAAATGAGGAGTTACGAATTGTTGGTTGTCGGAATAAGTGAAGTTCATTGGACATCAGCTTGACGGAAAAGAATAGATTCAGGAAAGATGCTACTGTAGGCCGGCTAAGAGGATAAAAATGCTCCTTATGAGCAGGAAGTTGAACTTGTGTTGTTCAAAGAAGAATGTATAGTACCTATAGGATGGGAATCTCATGATCCTCGGCCATCAAAGCATTCTTCAAAACAAACAAGAAGAAAGTCACAATGAATTTCATCCAATGTTACGCACCCATCAATGATAGTAACAAAGATGATAAAGATCAGTTCTACAAGAGGCTGCAATCCATCATAGCAAAGTGCACAGGAAACGACCTGAAAATCCTGATGGGAACTCTAAACGCTAAAGTTGGAATGGACAACACTGGATATGAAGATATCATGGGTCAACATGGACTGAATGGGAGAAAGAAACGAAAATGGGTAGAGATTTGCGAATGTATGTGCATTCAACAAATCGGTTATGGGTGGCTCAATATTTCCACACAAACATATACACAAAGCTACATTGGTTTCACCGGACCACACCACAGAGAACCAGATAGATCATATTTGTATCAATAGAAATTTCAGAAAGACAATGGAAGACGTGAGAACGAGGAGAGAGACTGACATAGCTTCAGATCACCACCTGGTTGTGGCAAAGATGAAATTATATCTAAAGATGGATTGGACAACTGGACAAACAGCCTTACAAAGGTTCAACACAGCCTTCCCGCGACAGATTGACAAACTCAACCAATTCAATATAACTTTCAACAACAGGTTCCAAGCCTTGACAGATCTAATCGACCAAGAGAAAACTACTATGGATGACAGTTGAAAAGGGATCAAAGAAGCAAAATATGAAATATATCTCTATATAACACTAAGTATTATGCTATGTAATTCTGTCATTTCTATAGGTAACCTATAGATGAGTGGGGTGATGACACAAAGACGCAAAATTGAATGTTCTATATGAAAAGTATTGACGTTTAGCATATTTAGTAATTTGTTTTTATATTCCTATAAATATAAGAATATCATGTAAAGTGTTCATGAAGAAATTTCCCAAACTACTCGAAAAGTCTAGTAATTCTAGTAAATGTAATAAAGTTGACCATCTTAGTCGATTTTATTCATTGTAAAACTCCAATGAACTGGATTTTAAATGAAATAAAAAATGTTATATTTACCTAAGCGTATTGGTATGATTAAAACATCCGATTTATTCATGTATTTTATACAGAACTGAAAGATTTCACAAGTGAATCTAACCATTTTACGTTATCATGACTTGGGAATATAAGTAACTCTAAATACGAGTTTTTTCAAACTAACGTCAAAAGAAATCGAGTTGACTGTTTGTAATCATCAACGTAACACTTTCAACTTCTAAAAGCTTATTAATTCTCGTTATTCTTACATGACTGAATAAAATGAATGATGTTCAATACTGTGACTCTGGTCCAATCCCATACGATATTAGTTTGTAAAATTATTATGAGCTAACTAACTAAAATAAGGATTTCGTAACAGACACATACGATGATCCACTATCGTAAAGTTTATTGCGATTTTATTCGAAGTGAAAGACTTTATCCTTTTTTAGTCGATAAACTAATTAGAATGACTGATCGAACAACAGATGTTTAGTTCTTTGTACAGAGAACAAATGCTGTGAGACTTAAAGCATTTGGGTTCGATAGAGTTGCGGATACACTGTGTTAGGAATTCTCGTGCTTGAATAAAAAAACATCCATTATATTCTTTTTGAGATCACGAACTGATCAATGTTAGACTGCCATTGAAAAATTAGAAGCACTGGATGGCAGTTTCGTTATCATTTGCTCACCAGTGACTAGCTTCGACAAGAAATTATCGGAGTGACTGGTGGATTTCGAGCGTATCGGGCATGAGACAGTTATCCACTGAAGATAATGGAAGTTGGTAGCGCAATACTGTGGTTGATTTTAGACACTAGCAACATTGGATGCCGGCTCAATGGTCCAGAGGTCAAACGGTTACGCATAGGACATAAGGCACTGGGTTCGATTCCCGCGTATGGAATCGTAGATGCGCATTATTGAGGAGTCCCATACTAGAACGAAATGGCCTTCCAGTCCCTCCAGGTATTCAGTGATGGTGTAAAACTGATCGGTTCACGATTTCAATTAAAACTCAATAATCTTTACAATCATATAATGAAAATTGTTCTTGATTTTCATTGCTTTTTTAGTTACGAGTAGTTTTAGATGTAAATAAAAGAAATCCAAAAATCTTCATGAACCTTTTTAATATTTTTTAATCAGATTGGGTTAACTACAAAATTCACTGGGTGAACTTACAAAAGTCTGTGTTGTTGTTGTTTCCGTGAAATCCCGGAGTTGTACATTTGATTTTTTATTCTATAATAATTTGTTATAAGAAAAAATAACTCGACTAGAATTTTACGTACCAGTTGTCGAATATAAGTTATTTCTAGAAGAATATCTAAATTTATTATCATAAGTAGAATAAAAATAATCCATTTCATTATCTTTATTTTTCCACAAGTTAACCACATCGCTGTTCGATAATCAAAATGTCTATATCATCTTTATTTATTGGTAATAAGTAACGCTGTTGATAACCAATCAAAAAAGAGGGAAATTGTTATGTTATTACCTGGTTGCTTCAATTGGTCAATATGCTGCCAAACGAAATACAGGGCACGTTATAAATAATATTTATTAATGAAAAAGCAAGCGACATACAGCATTTAATCTTATCTTCCCAGTTTTTATTCGTCTTAAGTCGACTTATCATAAAACGAGTTAAAATAGCCGTTTTTTAATAGTTGAGATCATGAGTCAATTAAAGGTAGAGCATCATGAAAAACAGAAGTATTGGACGGCCGTTTTGTCCCATTGTGGGACTTCTCAGCAGTGCACATCCACGATCCCGCCCCCAGAGATTCGAACCCATGAACTATCGTCTGACCTCCACATCACTGAGCTGGCCGCCATCCAACGGTGTTAATGTCTAACATCAACTAATCCACGAATTTAACACCGTTGGATGCCGGTTCAGTGGTGTAGAGGTTAAGCGTTCGCGCACGAACGATAGTTCCTGGGTTCGAATCTCTGGAGGCGGGATCGTGGATGTGCACTACTGAGAAGTCCCACAATGGGACAAAACAGCCGTCCAATACTTCCGCGTTTTTCATGATGCTCTACCTTCAATCGACTCATGATCTCAACTGTCAAAATTACTATAATATCCACAAAAACGCCTTTCCATATTAATGAACGTTTTCCGCAAGATACTGTTCAGTATAACTGCCATTCTGATGATGAACTGATGATAAACTCCATAGTTTTACAACCAACCATTGCTTAGTATTTAATAGACTATTGCATTTCACATATATGTGTATTTAATACCTTTGGTGATATGACAGTTTTACATAAGTATACTTTACACAGGTGACGATTTGTTTACTTAATTGTCAGTCTGGGGTTGTGGAGATTGTTGAATTTCATTGAAATAAAGAACCGATCTAAGTTAGATCACTATTGAACACTTGGAAGCACAGGACGGCCGTTTCGTTTTAGCGAAGGACTCTTATTATAGTCTGATAAATATCAGTTCTTAATTTAAAATGTATGCTGGTTCTATAATCAAACGTTCTTACTTCATGGCTTTAAGATTATATTCCGTTCAGTTTTCTAATCTCCATAAGACCTTCATTCACGGCCCTGTAGGCAGGATACGAACTTAGGAACTTCCGTCTTGCTCGTGAAAGCTTAACCTCTAAACCAACTGAGCAGGTATTCAAAGATTTTAATGTCAAAGTCTAATCAGTCTACGACATTTGGTTTCCGTCTTCTATTGTCTTCAGTGGGTAACTGTATTGTACTAGGCACAGATTGCCTATACTGGTTATGGCTTCTTACTTGAACTCCGGGAATTTCCTCTCGAAGCCGGGCCTTAGTGATCACATGATAATTGTGAGTATGGGGTTATGGAGATTGTTGGATTTCATTCAGATCGTGAACAAATCTACTTAAGACAAACCTTTGGATTATTTCTTCGAATATGCTGTACGTTCTGAACGCCTTCTACTCTATGTCAAACATCCCGACCATTCAACTAAGATTGGTCTGTAGAGATTTGATATGTCCGTTATTATTTTCTTCACAGAACATAGTTCGGTAACTGTAAATAAGCTGATTTCCAGTGTCAAGAACCACAGTATATGTTGATACAAAATAAATAAAAGGGTTAGGATGTTTTTGTGGGGTAGAGTTTGTGGAAATACCGTACATTATAGGAACCTCTCATAATTTTGAAAATTTTCTGTTAACAAGATGAAATCAGTCATTCATGGGGTGATAAAGAAGAATCCACATGAACGCGAGCTCAAGGTTCTGGAATTACTGATCGTTGTTAAGATTTTGGCCTAATGGGTAATTTCATTATATGTATGCATTCTTTAGAATAGTTCACACACAAATCATTCCAAACCATGATGAAATAACTTTTCAGGTTTTCTTGAACTTCCACTTTCCTCCCAGTGATATTTACTTTTGAACTAGGCTGTATTACACTATTTAATATAGTCGTTAGAATTGCAGTACCCAGTTTGACCCTCATCGGAAAGGGGTAAACTTAAGAGAACTATAAGTCAACATGGGATCCAAACCAATTTTATCCTTTAGTAGTACAAATTATCAGTGGTCATTTTTCTAACCAAAATTCACTGGTGTTGTATCTAAAAGCCCAGTTTATTCTCGCATGAATTATTCGCCAGTCGGAATACGGCTTATGCAATCTTCGCACTGTGCCAAACCAATGACGTTTGGCCGGTATGAGCCGGTATATATATATATATATATATATATATATATATATATATATATATATATATATATATATATATATATATATATATATATATATATAATAGTTCTTGGAAGTTACTCGTAATTGAATCTTCACTAGGATATAACAACTGGAGTATTTTCGAGCCTCATTTTATTTGCCTAAAGAGTGAGATATCTTTTTAATACGAAGTGATCAGCAAAAAGCCAACGTCAACGACTTCCTGTCTTGAATACTTCCCACTACCCACCGTACAAAAACGTTCATTGTAATATTAAGTCACTTAACTTACCGGCCAGTTCCAACTAGATCGATTAAATTCCGTCAATAGTGAAGATACTGAATACTACTGAGTGACAAATGATTATATAGATTTAAACTGTCTACACACTATTTATTTATTTTAAATATTCTTATTTTAATATCTAGAAGAACAAACCCTGTTCATTATATCAGTCAATTGTAATAAAATATTGTTGATCGATTGATGACTAGGTATGCATAAGTAAATTTTATGTGAAAAACCAACGATCAATGAACATTTATTGTTTATATGTTGTTATCTGATAACCGAACTCCATCTATTTTTAACCAATTACACTCATAAAAACTTGATTTAAATGAGAATTTTTTGAGGAAAAAGAGGGAAAAGCATCTGTGAAACCATCTGTTGATTGAAAAAATTTTTATTCCCATGAAATTCTATTTAGTTTTTATTACTCTTTTGATCAATAAAAAATGAAAGTAAATTTCAATTGCCATTTTGGATAACTGTTATCCTAAGAACTGTTTGTGAAAAAGAATTTAAATATGGGTTTTTAAGAAGTGACAGATAATTACCATTTAAACACTAAAAGCACAAAGTTCAGCGAAAGGATCTCTTTTCAACGAATTTATTATCAAGCTGTACAATCATATATATATATATATATATATATATATATATATATATATATATATATATATATATATATATATATATATATATATATGAGAATTTTTTTTAAAGTACTAATTCCGTGTGGAAATGTGAACACAAATAACCAAGATAATGTAATAGAAAGATCATAATCGATAGCATTCGATCTGCACTAATAAGGACTAGACAAGCATGACATTGATCACCACTCAGTGATCAATCAATTGTGATTAGATCATAATACTAAATTACGTAATACGAATAATAACATTAGATTTAGTGAATGTAATGTTTTTTTTGTTACAATAGTTAAAGGTCATTAAAGGTCATAGAGGTGTAAAAATAAACAAGGTGACATGATGAGTATTTATGAATAAATTAATGGGAATATAAGACATAAATAAAGGGGTATGCGGTACTACTACCAATAATAATGATAATAATAAAATAATAATATTAATTAGGGTCAAGGTAACGATATCGATAAGACGTACTTCTTTTGTACGCATAGTTCTGGTTTGAGCTCATGGTTGTTAAGAGCTTCAACTGTTTTTAGGAGTTGGATACGAAAAGATCTAAGTAGGTTTGAACGAATCATATAAACAAACTTAAAATCAAACTGTGGATCCGTAGAATGATTACAGTAGATTGAGTGTTCAAGTATAGAACTCCTAACTGATTTCCTTTCATCCTTGTACAACCAAAATGAGACATTTTCCGTATCCAAGTTGAAAGCTAGCGCAGGCTACGGCCAATGTACCTTGCTCCTTAAGAGCAGGTGAACTGGTAGATGCACATGGAGTCGACCAGATGCGGAAGCTTATCTTTTACGGATACAGAAAATAAGTTTTTACTAGTGAAGGTTATTCGCAGTTTTGCCGCATTAAATGTTCTTTTAATCGCTGTTGTTAGGCGATTTTTGATTACGTCAGATGTCCGATCCCCTTTAAATTCTAGACTTATATAGGGGTTTTTGGGGACGGAACAACTAGATTTCCTGTCGCAACTACTTCTAATCATATTCTTCTCTGTGGAATGGTCTGGGTAGCCATTTTTCGTCGAGGTTTTCTTGAGGAATGCAAGTTCTTCCTCATCCGCATCTGGTGATAAGAATGTAAAATTTAGACCTATTGCAATAACTTCACCCTTCCTCAAAACCATGGAAAAATTATTAATACTTCCACTTCAGCTTGTGACAAAAGGGCATACTGACCCATACCAGTTTGCATACAGGCGCAAAAGAAGCACTTTAGATGCTGTTGCAGTTCTGCACCACAACATAGTGTTCAACTTAGAAAAGGGTAAGAAGTATGTTCGTTGTGCTTTTCTGGACTATACTTCAGCTTTTGACTCTATACCAAGACAACGTTTACTTAACAAGTTAATCAGCGTCAACACTGACAGCTGGATAACCAACTGGCTATGTTCCTACCTCTCTGGAAGGGAACAGTACACTGTGTTTGGAGGAAAGTGTTCGGAGTCTCTACTGTCTCAGGAAGGTGTACCACAAGGAGCTGTTCTTTCACCTCTTCTATTCTCTTTTTTTCTGCATGACCTGCCATCTTCCACAGAAAACACTTTTGTGAAGTATGCGGATGATCTCACTGTATGTATGCCTATATCTTCCTCTTTACATCCCATAGAAATGAATGAGTTTTTGTCTCGTATTGATTGTCGGTCTGTTGGTAATGGTCTCATACTTAATCCGTCTAAATGTCAAGCTGTTAACTTTAGCATGAGACATGGACGGAATATAAACACTTTTTTGAGATCCCAT